CAGTAACAGTTCAAGTTTAGTGTATTCCAGATAAGAAAATGGCTGTAGCAAATGAAAGGGGCCCTTAGCCTAAAGAAAATGCTTCTTGCCTAGGTGTCCAACTCATACATCCAACAGCTTCCCATTAGTGACCCTTCCATGTGGTTCCCAGGACTCCCCATATTGGTTACAGTGTAAGTTCATTAAATCTACTTTAACCTATCACGTGTTGTGATTGTCTTTCTACTCCAGGATCTAACTGTCCTTTTCTTGTATCGTGGTCATTCCAGGTATTCTATAACCATAGAATCAAGGTGAGTTTCAGAATAAGAGATCTTTTGGCAGATGTGCRATGGCTTACACATATCTTGAAAGCTCTGACTAAGGCATGAACGATTTCTGGAATAGCAGCTGCCATCCTGGCAGCAGACAAGGTGGCCGAGTGGTAAAGGCGATGGACTGCTAATCCATTGTGCTCAGCACGCATGGGTTCAAATCCCATCCTTGTCGGAGACTAGGGACCAGCCTAGAAGGAGCCTTTTGGAGCAAGAAACTGTTCATCCCTTGTTTCTGACAAATAGCCATGGGGAGAGTGAGAGAGTTCAGGCACTTCCAATAGTCCTTTGCAGATACCAAGAAAGTGTCTTGCAGCTCCCTGTCATGTAAAGAGAAAGACACAGTAATGTGTGTCTAAGTGATTTCCCAGAGCAAGGGTCCTATTCCTTGGCCTGGTCAACCAGGGGACAGTATGCGCTCTCTCTGGCTACTGTAAACCCCTCACACCATCAACAGATTACCTGAACACTTCATGTAGGGAGCTGTCTTGAGCAGACTGGGCAAGGACATGCTTCAGGAAAGAATCACAGAATGGTTAAGGTTGGAAGGGACCTCTAGTCCCTGTCCAGCAGGGACAGCTAGAGCATGTGGCACAGSGTGGCATCCAGGCGGGTTTGGAAGATCTCCAGAGAAGGAGACTCCACAACCTCTCTGGGCAGCCTGTTYCAGGGCTCTGTCACCCTCACAATGAAGAAGTTCTTTCTCACACGCAGATGGAACTTCCTATGTTTCAACTTATATCCGTTGCCCCTGCTATCCAGCCAGTTCTCAATCCACCTCACTGTCCACCTGTCCAGTCCTCCCTTTCTGGAGCTTTCCTATGAGAATATAATGGGAGATGGTGTTGAAAGCCTTGCTGAAGTYAAGGTAGACAACATCCACAGCTCTCCCCTCATCAAATATGACTTCCCCTTGGTGAATCCATGCTGACTACTCCCCTGAACACCTTCTTTTCCTTGACATGCCTAGAGATGCTCTTTAGGATGAGCTGCTTGAAAGGCTTTGTTCAGTGGGACTGTGCAAACCTTGGAGGAGGGAGAGGGAGTAGGGGGGACAGTCCCTTCCTGAGCAAGGTGTCACCTGCTCTGCTGGTAGTCGACAGCCTGATACTGGAGCACTCATCAGAGGCAGAGAGCACTTCTTGCTGTCGCTGCTCCAAAAGGCTCCTTCTGGGCTGGTCCCTGGTCTCCGACGAGGATGGGATTTGAACCCATGCGTGCAGAGCACAATGGATTAGCAGTCCATCGCCTTGACCACTCGGCCACCTCGTCAGCCTGCCATGGCTGCAGCTGTGACTTCTCTCAACAGTGCCAGAAACACTCTGGCTACATGCAGGACTTCCTTGCCATGCTGTCTCAGAGGATGAGACATTCTCCATGGAATCATTCATAGYTACTCACAAGGAATGGAGAATTTTCTTTCTTTTCAAGGACATCTTAGTCCTGATCTCCTGTCCAGCGTGGATCACAGAATCTCACAGAAGCACGGAATGGTTGAGGTTGGAAGGGACCTCTAGAGATCATCTAGTCCATCAGTCTAGGGACACCTAGAGCAYGTGGCACAGGGTCGCATCTAARCAGGTTTTGAAGATCTCCGAAGAAGCAGCCTCTGCAGTCTCTCTGGGCAGCCTATTCCAGTGCTCTGTCACCTTCAGAGGTAAGAAGTTCTTCCTCATATGGAGATGGAACTTCCTGTGTTTTAATTTATACCCCTATCCCTTGTCCTGTCACTGGCCACCACCGAGAAGAGTTTGGTCCCATCTTCTGTACATTCTCCCCTTGGATATTTATACATATTGATAAGATTTCTTCTCACTCTTTTCCAGGCTATACAGGCCTGACTTGCCTAGTCCTTACGTATGAGATAGATGCTCCAGTCTTCTAATCATCTTTGTTGCTCTATGCTGGACCCTCTCTAAGGCTCATCCTAGCTCACAGCTCATTTGACTACTCTTTCCCTTTCTGTCTKCCCTCCTGTATCCAGAAGATGGCCCTAACAAAGAAAAAGTGGTTCTGTGGTGTAATGGGCAGCACTCTGGACTTTGAATCCAGTAATCTGAGTTCAAGTCTCAGCAGAACCTCTATTGATGCTTTCCTTTTGTCTAGGAAATAAAACATTCTGGTCCTGTATTTCAGTATAGTTTGGCTGGGATTTGGAGTCTGGCCTGCAGGAAAAAGCTGTTCATCCACTAGCAAGCTCAGTGCAGTCACAGGTCACCTCACCTTCCTACCAGRGGATGGTTCTCCAAGTTAATGATGTGGAGCCCAGCCATGGGAAAGCCAGGCTCCCCATTCTACATCTCTCCACATTGTGGCTCTGCTCTCCAAAGTGTCAGTATTTATTTGCATCCTGCGGCTGGTGTCTATGGCTCATCTCAGTCACTATGATCAGAGGAAGACAATACTTGATGGTTGACAAGAAATAAGTGTCACGCACACATTAAAGCACCTAGTCCAGGTCACTCTCCTCCCGGCAGGGTGCTGCCAGCATGCAGGGATGCTGGATGCAGGATCCAACGCGCATGCCTTCTAGTTCACCAGGAGTGGGCTGTGAAGGACCATGAGATACAAGAGGGGAAACCCTTGCTTTGCTTCCTGCCAGAGCAAGCACCACACAACTGAGACTAGATACCCAACCAAAACCCCATAGCCTCTGGGGAAGAGCAGAATGGGGACCAGTCTTTGCAGTCTTGCAGCTCCCATTCCGAGCAGGTGCTCAGGGTCAGCCCATGGAGCCCTTTAAAGCTGGAGGGATCAGCAAGTCTGCTTTGGCTTCACTTCCTAGAACCAGCTGATACCAATGAGCATCCATCAGCACCAGGGCTGTTCCSTTTTCTGCTGCTTAGCCCTGCAGGACATAGGAGGTTGTTTCCAGCATTTCCCTGCCTGGACCCCATGGGAGAAAACTGCAGGACTGTCATTGTCAATACTCTACTTGACCGGAAGGTAAAGCTGCACTTATTTTTTAAAGTAATAGAATAGTCACAGAGTGACTGTTTTCCTGAAGTGCTGCTTGAATAGGTTTGGAGAATACTGTAAAATACTGGCAATTCTGGTACTTAGGCAGGCAGTTGATCACACTGGATAATGTGTTCCTCAGCTGCAGGGGAGCAGTAACTGATGTTTACTAGAGCTGGTCGCAGGCACTTGGAGGCAACTCACTGTCTGAGCAGACTGGCTGGCTGAGAGGCTGGGCTGTCTCTCAGTTCCACATGCAGTAAGCACAGAAAACATCAAAAACTCCTTTGCCCTCAGGTGCCCGCAATGTGCAGTAAGCAAGACCAGGGCAGGGGCTWTTTTAGGGCTAAACTGTTCAGTTAGCAGCTGACTGGGAAGAGCCAGGTAGTGCTTTGCCTCTCTACTCAGGTGTGGAATGCCAGGATGGGTCAAAGCTCTTATTTCCTTGCAACTTTGTGTTTTTCCTTGTACTGATGGTAGTATTATATCATGAGCATTTGAAATTCAGCTTGTTGCTTCATTTTATTCGGCTGCGTGAGCCATAGTATTTCTGGTTTAGGGTTTATGGTATTTATTGCTTAATGTAGCCCTCTACAAAGAATAAACTTATCTGCAGATGCTTTGACTAGCTCAACATGAGCATTTGCTTGTAGGGAATAAATAATGAATTACCGTCTGTACAAAATAAATTGGCTTTAAAATATACGTGCAAAGTCRGGGAACTAATTCTAATCGCAGAATTCACCCATGTCTCACCAAGTATCTTCCAACTTGGGCAAATTATAGAGGCTAATGAGCTTTCCATCTCCCAAACCTGCAGGGWAAGTACAGCCGGGCAGTATGACAGAGGGAGGTGAGCAGCAGGTCCCTGTGCCATCTGGCTACAGATGGATCTGCTGGGAACCCAAGTGTTGGTGACAAAGGTCATTTGATGTAGTGGCTTAAGCAGAGGGGCCTGCTGCCCTGTGTCAGGTGGGGAGAAGGAATAAAATATGGAGCAAGCCAAAAGTTTAGCAGAGTTTGGCTGCAAGCAAGAAGGTCACAGGATGAGAGGGAACTTTTCCAGAGTTTCCTTCTGTGCACTTTCCAGAGTTTCCTTCTGTGCACTTTCCAGAGTTTCCTTCTGTGCACTTTCCAGAGTTTCCTTCTGTGCACTTTCCTTCTGTGCAAATTCTCTGGTGTTCAATAGGTGCTTGTGCTACAGCCTTTCCTGGCAGAGATGTTCTTGGGGGCTCTCTCCTTTACAGCATCTGTTATCTGCCATTAAACCCTAGGAATGTGTCAGTTTTGAGCTGTTGGGTTCTCCTGAAACCAGCTCCTATGCTTAGTTATTAGGAGGGCACAGGTCTGCACATGTATGAACACTTGGAGTTCAGAGGCTTGGTTTCCCCGAGTTAAAATCCTCACTCTACCTGTGTAAGTAAGTACAGCATAATCCTGAACTGACTTGGGACAAACTCTGAAGAAACTGCATACCAAGAGAGCACTGGGCTGCACAGCAGAGTCAGTTGCATTGGGCTGGAAAGGACAAAAGGACAAGTGCAGGAGATGATGAAGGCAGAAGAGTTCTGAGAAAGAAATGGACCAGCCAGACTCTCTTGCACTACTATCCAGATATGCCAAGCCAAACAACACCGAGSTTTCTGAACAAACGACAAACCTTTATTTTGTATTTGTTTCGTATGTTAGAAGGGGAAAAAATGCATATGTCAAAACTACATTAAAAGTTAGTGATAATTCTGCAAACGTTTTAACAGCAAAAAACATGTCCAAGCCAATAAAGCAAAGGAAATGAGATTACATCTGGAACGATGATGAAAAATGAGAGTTTCCACAAATTTTCAATTGGTGCTCTAGGCTAACTGGATCTTTCGGCTTCTCAGTCCTAGCTAAGGCAGAAATTAAGATACCACACATTGGTCCYCTGCTTGTGGGAGGGCAGAATATCAGCTCTCTTATACAGCTCACATCAAACAACTTTTCTAAGGCTGGCAACCCCCTTCTTTGTTAACAACAGCAGAGGGCCAAGCAGAGAAGCTGCCCTATCTGCAGAGTGGAGCTCCAGCGTGCCCTRGTATCAGGAACTGCCACTGACAGATCTGCAGCAGGACCTGGGGATGCTCCAGAGAAATAACTGTGCATCACCTTAATTCACTGGTTAATTGAAAAGAAAGTTGCTCTCTCCTGTCATTTTCGGCTTGACATTTTATGCTGACAAATTTACATTCTGTCCCCCTGTATGGACAGGCTCTCCTCAAAACTCTCTGCCAGCCACAGCCTAGACAAACTTCCCCCAGCAACAGRCTGAGAGTTTCTAAATACAGGGGTGTCCCCTTTCAGGCTCCCCAGGAGAAGAGAGGTCCTGGGTCCCATCTAGTCCCCTGCAAAGTGCCCCCAAACAGATCTGCACTGCTCCCCTTCAGAGCAAGCACAAGGGTAGATCTGTGTCTTCTTATCTGTAGTGTCTCCGTAGGTCACATTGCTCTTCAGCATCCTGGGGGCTTTTCCAGAAGAAGTATTGGTGATTAAGGGCTGCCTTGGCTGAGATGCGTCTGTTGGGGTCATACAGTAGCAATTGCTGCCAAGAGAAAAACCCAAGGGATTTAGAATTTTAAAAAGTCAAATGCTGGATTGTACCAACATGTGGCTGGACCCTGTCTGTTGCACAGGCCTAAGATGGGACTAGCTGTGTCTGCTGTTGTATTACAGACCTCAGCATCCCTGCCTTACACTTTTCCAGATGGCAGAGCACCCGTTCAAACTTTGCAATGAAAAGATTAAACCAAAAAGCCCATGGCTCAAGGATCAAGAGGAACCCACAAGCCTAGACACATCAGCTCCTATCCATGTTGCCTGCTCAGCTTGAAAAAGCCCTCCTTGCCTGCCAGCCTTCTCCTGAACCCCTTGCTCACCGTCAGTAAGTCTCGGCCATCCCGATCTAAGTTGGGAACGATTTCCTTTATCTCCTTCCTTGTCCAGCGGGGAAAGTCCCCCTTGTAGTCAGGCAGTTGGGTCACCCCAGGCCACGTTGCCTCGGTGGGAGTACCCAGGGTGCGGAAGATCCGGAAGAGCTGATCAATCTCAGAATCCCCTGGAAAGAGGGCTTTCCTAGTCACCTAGAGCAAAAGACAACTAGTTTTCACCTTTGCATCAGCTTTGGGCCTGAGTTCCCTTTAGACTGACTCAGCCGGTCTCTTATTCCTCGTCTGTCCCTAGTCTCCTCGCGCTGGCTCTTGCAGGCTGTCCCTCTCCCTTCTGTACTCTCCCACGCTCTGCCGATCTGCAGCTCGGGGCTTTTGAGAGCTAGGGACACTGCTGCTGGGATAAAAAGAGCTATTCAAAGCAGAGTATGGACTCCTGGGACACAAGCTCGGAGCAATAACTGTGCTATGAACTGCCAGTTCTCTGCAACCCACTTGAGGGCAGCAGAGGCAGCACTGGTGGAAGATCCCTGTGAAAGCCATCAAAATGTCACAGCCGGAAGACTAAAGTTACTCCTTTTGCAAGGAGTGGCCTTACACTCCAGCCAACTTGAAACTGCAGATGGATTGCAGAAGCTCTTACACTTCTGCCAAGTCCTTGCTGGTGGTAGACTTTTTTCTGAGTTAAGGATAAGCTAACCCTCAAGGGGTCTTTCTTGCAATGCACTCCCAGCTCAGGTTGGGACAGCAGTATYGCAGATGTTGTGGATCCTGTCCCTCCTTCCACACTTTCCACTGCAGTTGCATCCTCCCAGCTCGCTGAAGAGACCATAAAAAGCATCCTACCATCTCTGCGAAGATGCAGCCAATGCTCCAGATATCCACAGCTGTTGAATAGTATTTGCATCCCAGCAAGATTTCAGGGGCTCGGTACCACAAGGTGACCACCTGGGAAGGAATACACAAATGAGCCTGGTCTAGTTGCCCTGTGTGGATTTAGAAACATGAGGGCTCTCTTAGCTGTGTCCCTGTGCCAAGCACCATTCTTCTTTCACAGCATCATTCCAACCTTAAGACACCAACTGCAGTGACTAAACAAATCAGAGCCTGCTGAGGCCATGCTGAATCAAGAGACACCTTGGCTACAGCAAGATGGGAATGATGATCCTTCAAGAGGACACCCTGGAATAAATAATCCTTCTACGGAAAAGGTGGGAACACAGTGTGTAAGTGGACTAGGGTAAAAGCAGCCAGCTCACTTTGTGAGAGTACCAAGTAAGGCCTTAGCTGCAGGTTATGGTAAGAGCCTGTGTCTGTATCTGAGCTGTGCCTCAGCTCTGGGCTGGTCACTGCTGATACATGGATTGTACACCCTGCTTTCAGGTGGCTACGGTACCTCATGAGTGTATGTGCGCAAAGGGACTCCAAAAGCTCTCGCCAGTCCGAAATCAGCTAGCTTAATGGCTCCCGCTTCGTTAATGAGCAAATTCTGTGGCTTCAAGTCTCTGTGGATGACTCTGTGTGAGTGGCAGAAGCTCACACCTTGCAGCAGCTGGAAAAGGTAGTTCTGAGGAGAAAAGAGATTTCAGACRAGGCTGCAATGAAACTACATGGAAGGCTGGAACCTACACGCTCTGCACCATTCACAGACCCGGTGGGAAATACGGCCTTGCTCTAATGCAACATGAAGCTTACAAGGCAGTACTCAGATATGCACAAACTGCCCTCCCTCTACCCTGGAGTAAGGACTCGTGGTTCCTGCCTGGCCTGCAAGAGCAACTTCCATCCAGTACCTTGACCAAGGTTAGGGGAAGGTCTCCAGTCTGGGATGAGTCCATGTACTTCTTCAGGTCCTGATTCAGGTACTCAAACACCAGGTACAGTTTCTTCTGGCTATGCACAACATCCAAGAGCCTACAAGGRAACACGGGGACGCTCCCTTGATGAGGGCAACCTGTGGTAGCCAGGGTGCTGCCATCTCACAGGCCTACCTGAGCCAAGCCAAAATGGTGCTGGACTCTCTCCCTTACCTGACAATGTTGGGGTGCTTGAGCTCCTTCAGCAGCGAGATCTCACGGATAGCGGTGCTGGGGACGCCCTCGGTCTCCCTGTGTCGGAGCGGATGATGGGATAGTGGGACAGGCACAAGGGCCCAGGTGAAACCGGCGGCAGGACAGGCCCCCTCCGGCCATGGCTGCCTGCCCCGGCAGCACCCGGCGAGGCCTGCGCAGCCCRTGCCCCTCGCGCCGCCCCTTCGCCGTGCTGCCCCCACTCACGAGTCCAGGCGGATCTTCTTGAGGGCCACCAGCTGCCCTGTGCGCTTGTTGCGGGCCTTGTAGACGACGCCATAGGTGCCCTCGCCGATCTTCTCCACCTTCTGGAAGGCCTCCTGGAAGGTGTCCATGGCGCTGCCCCTCRGCCTCGCGGTGGGCTGGGGCAGAAAGGGTAGCTTTTGGGGGGAAAAACAGACCCCCAAAACAAAAAACATGTGACAAGGCGTCGGCAACCACCTGTTCTGGTCCCTCCACAGCTCGAGCACCTGTCCCTTGGCCTGAAGAAACTGCTCCCACCATGAAACTAATCCTGGAGTCAGGATGGGGGAGGCAGGTCCAGCTGCCCCCTTTCCTCCCCTGGAGCCACTGTCCCCCCACCCCAGCCCCCCACAGGAGACGGGGCCCCTCTGCTCCATCATCCCCAACCTCCTCAGTTGGCTTTGGACGACAACTGTCTCTGGGCAAAATATCTTTCAGCAGCYGCTGCTGTTTTGATCCCTTGTGCTGGTGGGGCTGATGATTTGCCAGCCTAGGCACCCTGGAGCCAAGGTGATGCCTCCCTAGGGTCCTGCTCCTGCCCTGGGTGCCACACACAGCTCCTCCTGCCCTGGCTCCTCCACCTTAAACCCTATGGGAAAGGGGAACCAGATGCTGCAGGGGCAAAGGGATGCCCAAGTGCAGAGGAAGGGGTCAGATAGAGCTAGAAAAGCTCTAAATTGCAAAAATGGCAGCATACCCTGAGCTGGTCGCTGGCAAGCGCGGTCGTGGAATGTGCTAGCAAAGGGCTCGTAAGCTGAGGTCGAGCAAAAGGCTCGCGGGTGAGTTCGGGGGGCAGGAATGGCCAGTGCGAGCGCGCGGAGCCAAGGGCAGCGCTGCAGCTCTGTTCGGGCAGCGCCGGTGCAAAGGGGATGTGGTGGCCAGTGGGTTTCCTGGTGCAAGTTTGGGATCAAAATGCCTCACAGAAAAAAAAAAAAAAAAAAAACTTTTTTTTTTTTTTTAAATCTTGCGCAATTGTCCCTTGATCCTCAGTACCCCTTGGTCATGCTTTCGGAAGATGTCCTTGACAAGGGGGAATTAATCATTGACTTACCTGGCAGTAAAAGGCAAGGTTGAAAATGAGCATGAGTTGAAAATAAGCATCATGCAACAGCAGCATCACAGGGCCTATGTCTGTCTTTTGCAGGAACTGGGGTGATTCATGTCCCCATGGACAGGCAGGGTGAGATGTGTGCTTGACCCAAGAGGGGTTGATGCTGACCTAGCAGCTCAAAACCTTCCCGAGGAGCTCCTGATTTTGCTCTCTACCCAGGCCTTTGTTTTCATGACACTTGGAACTCGGGATCTTGGATATTTCCGACTCTGGGAAAGGGGATAAAACCTAGCCATTTGGTTATAATTTAAGGTAGGGGAGGAAGGCAGGAAGACAGAAGAGGAGTTCTATGGATAGACACAAGACAAACATCTCTTGCCAAAGCAGGTTACAAGCCTGCTTCTGGAGACACAGCTTTAGACTTAGACTGCACCAAGTGCTCTGAGATGGGGCTCCTAGCACCTGTATGAGGGAGAACTGTAAAGTTAAATGATGACTAAAAATTACAGCAAGTGCAGTAATGACTGAGCAATCTCAGGATCTTGAATCAAGCCTGCTGGTAGTATGGGATTTTGTCAATATCTGCTGCATTTTAATCTGCTTCTGCACAGTGGATGGTTTCACTCCCTATTTTCTGAACACTTAACGAGTGAATGTGAGGAAACAGGAAAGGTGACTGAACTCCCCAGGTGCTATAGGCCCAACTCATTCCAGGTTCAGGGATCCCTACAGTAAAATAAGCTGTATCTCTTTTACTAGCATTTTATTCCCACTTCACTTCAGAAAATCTCTGTTTATTTTGACAATTTAACTCAGTTGGGTGGACCTGGCAGCTTCTTCTCAAACTGGAGCAGCTCTGATGTAACATTACCTCCTGTCCTCGCAACTCCTTAAGCACCCAGCACTTCCGTGCACACCCACTCTTTATGAGGAGGAGGAAGAGAGCACCACATTAAATCCACTTGCATCATCCACGGTGTTTCAGCGGGGCTTAGTGCCTTTGCCTGAGCAGCAAAGGGTTTTCATCAAACCAGATGCATGTCTGCTCTGCCAGGAAAGCTCCCAGCTGGCAGCTGAGTCACGGTACCTGAACTCCTGTCCTGTGGACGTGTGGCCACGCCAGGCAAAGAACTTTACTCCAGTGCCCTTTCTCTCCCATCTGCAACTGCCCTGTGTCCTAGTACACTCCGGAGTGGGTGCACGTGAATGTTTAGCTACAGATTTACGGAATTCTCTCTTTCTTGGCTCCTCCAAACCTTGTGCTACGAAAGCATTGGCATAACTCAAGCGCTCCCTTAACCTTTTATCCAACAAGCCACCCTCATTCTCAGAGCCCTTTTTGGTGACCATGCATGGAGCAGCTCCGTGGACAGCTACGTCCTGATTCAAAGTATTTTAAAAATTTATTGGAAGCATCAGTGCTGCTGGGAAAGGCTGGAGTGCCGATGCCTTCCCCAGCAAAGGGATGAGGGYTGCTGCGAGGTGCCCTCAGGACATGCCGGTCTCCACGTGCTGCTGTCGCTCCTGGAGGTATTTTCTCTGCTCCTGGATGGCTTGTTCCAGCAAGGGCAGGTTCATCCCCTCCACGCAGGTCAATATTCGGGCCTTCACCACAGGACCCTCACCTGGGGACGTGAACAGGCAGGTTTTGTAGGAAAGGAAATGGATGCAGCAGCAACCGGGCGAGCAAAAAGGTTCCCTCTGGCAGCACTGAAGAGGCTCAGGGCTGCCTGCAGCCACCAGCTCAGACCTGCCCTGCAAGCTCAATTGGTGGCACAAGCCATGCACCAGGGGCCAAACTCTGGTGACAAAGCTGGTGTCTCAGCTGGTTCTCCTTCCTTGACTGCAAAATGGGGCCAGCTCACTCGTGGGCCGAGGTGACCAAAATCACCTGCCTTTCCAGAGGAATTTAGCGGCTAGGCAGGTGACTCAAGAGTTGCCACTTAAGTGTGGCTTCCTGCGGTCACCAAGGCCTTCTGCGGCATCAACGTGACTGCTTGTTATCCCGGTGGCTGAGACGATGCCAGGGTTTGCTTCACTCTGCTGCGGCCCAGCCCTGACCTGCTCCCAGTGCAAAGCACCACAAAGCCAAGAAACACTCAGGGAAGTCCTGGAAAGGACAACACTGGGCCTGGCCTGACAGCGCCTGCCCACATTCCTCACGCACCAGCCTGGGGCTGTAATTAGCACCTTGTGAGCATGGCAAGGACCAGCAGAGCCGGCTCGCTGTGAGGTGCTGCTGCAATCAGAGGGGTCTGAAGCAAAGCGAGGTAGTCTAGTGGCCTTGAACCACAAGACCAGGTTCATGGGCTCAACCCCAGTGCTGGACACTTTTAAGGAAAACCCCTGCGTTACCCCAAGGTAAGTGTAGGGTGGCTCATCTCACGCCTCATGGTCAGTGGGGAGAGATGGGCTGTTCCTGCCCTGCAGCACCCATGCCGGGGGCTGCCGCAGCCATGGACTGTGCCTTATCCCACGGCTGTTTTGGGTGGAAAGGGAGACTCCTKGCTCACTGGTCCAGGCCACCTTTCCTCAGACAATTCCACGCTCGGCTAGAAGCAGAGTGGCCGTTTACCTTCCCTGTGCTCGGCCTCCCCCAGCACCATGTAGAGAGAGCCCAGCTGGGCTTGGAAGGGCTCCACGAAGCTGGTGTCGACGCACACCTGGTGCTGGGCCGCACGGTGCCGAGCGGTGAGAACGGCTTTGGAGCGAGCCAGGTCGTAGCAGCTTAACCTRGGAGAGGTGGGTTCGGATGCTCAGCACTGCGGGCGCAGCGGAGCTRCAGCGATCACAAAGCAGGGAAGGGACAAGACGGCAAAGGGGCGGCCTGGCCGTCTAGGTGACTTCGTTACCGTTCCCACCTGCCAAACGTCCTCAGTGCCTCCCCCTCTGCGACTGAGCTGTTGATCTCCCACGGGAAGTAGTAGACAGCAGCATTTGGCAACATCTCACTCAACCAGTGCTGGGAAGGCAGAAGAGAGGAGTTCCCCCCAYGTTTCCGTGCTCTAATCCCCATCTTTCTCTCTGATTTCTCAACCCAGTGAGGCCGCTCTGGTCTGCGCATGCCAGCCCTGGGGAACGGGGCGAGGGCAGCCACCGCGGCGGCTCCCAGTGCGGATGAGGCAGCAGCAAGGCCACAGCGGCCTGCAACCAGTCTGGTGTCCCTTGGCCACTGCACGCATTGCTCGCAGGGGAGGTGGCCCTGCAAAAAGCCCTCCGCCGCCCCGCTGCCGTGGGAGGCTACCGAAACCAGGGCAATCCCGGCTCAGCCCTGCGTGCAGGCAGCCCGGGCGCTGCCTCCGTGCTGCCCCGYGCAGGGCTTTGCAGGCCGGGGGTGAAAGGCGGCTGTGACGGTGCCAGCCCGCCGTGCCCGCCGCTGCGCCAGCCTCACCTGCCCTTCAGTTCTGCACCTCTGCGGCCGGCGCTCACCTGCTTGGCATCGCTCGGGTTTTGCTCCTGAGCTGCAACAGGGCAGGGATCTGCCAGGAATGCAAGATGTTAACCACCCATTTAACGCACGTTCTCACATATATACCCAAGCCCAAACACGTATGTAAAGCATGCACAGCCCCAATTGCAACATGCTACACGCATGTTAAACAGCGGCCTGGCCTCCAGCACAGCATGCTGCATGCATTAAGCCTGCAGCCCCTCATGCAGCACGTTCTGGGCCTTTCCAACGTGCAGCTCCACGCACGCCAGCCCCAGATCAGCAACGTTATAGAGCACTCGGCACCCCCCCACGCCCGCCTGCCCCAGCACGCACGCGAATGCAGCGCAGCGTGTAACACGCGCGCAGCCACTGCTGCAGAGCGCGCACCCTATGCAATGCACGGACAGCCCCACGCAGCTCTATAGGCGCGCGCCTATAGCACCATACCCACCCCCCCAGCCCCGCGCGCTACGCGCGGTCACGCGGGGACGGGGCGGTCACGTGGGGGGGCGGGTCACGTGGGGCGGGGCGGTGGCTGAGGAGGAGGAGGAGGAGGCCGCGCGGTTCGGAGGTCGCTGCGGGCGGACGCGGGGCCCGAGCGGAGCGGATCGCAGCGAGCCGGGCCGGACTGGACTGGACCGGACCGGACGGCACCGCCGCGGCCATGGTGATGAACGCCGACCTGCGCAGGGAGCGCGCCGCCGCCACCTTCCAGCCCGAGCTGCTCACGCACGTCCTGGACGGCGGCGCCGAGCGCACCCGTCGCCGCAGGGAGATCGGTGAGGGGGAGCGCGGGCCGAGGGGCTGGGACGGAGGAGAGGGGGGCTGCGGGGAGAGGGGGAGCGCGAGGGCAGCGGCCCCTGGGGCGGGACTGGGAGGCCCGGAGGGGGKGTGGGGGAGGGAGGCAGCTCTGGAGGGAAGAGGAATCTCAGGTTGGGGGGATCGGGGAGCTCTGGGGCTGCTGGAGGCGGAGGGAGGCCCAGGGAGACGGTGGGGCCCTGTGGTGGGGACAGGGAGGCTGTGGGGGCTTCAAGGAAAGGGGCTGCGGAGCAGGGGGCTCTGTGGGGCTGCAGGGAGAGCTCCCTTCCCTCGGGGCTCCCGACTCGCCTCCCTGCCCTCCCCTTCCCAGAAAAGCTTCTGGAAGTGGAGGGACTCGGAGCAATATCCCTTATTACCSGCTCCTCCTCTCAAGGAAGATCTTGGGGTGAAAACCTTTTCCTTTGGCCGTACACGCTTGCCCAGCAGCACAAATGCGATCAGTCTTGCTCATGACTGTGACATGTGGTGGCCGTGGAGCGCTGCCAGCTCTGTCCTTTCCCAGCCTGGGCTGGGGTGGCCCTGTSAAGGGCCGGACAGTTGTATAACTTGTGTGCCAAAGGGGACACGAAAGCCCGTAGCTTCCAGGTACCTCGGTTTTGAGCCATCAGAATGGGAATAAGAGCTGCACCCTCCTTCCGAGGTGCGTGGAGATGGGATCAAAGTTCAGGGGCAATGTGATCCTGCGGGAACGAGGGCTGTCTGAGCACTGAGGTGGTCACTAGGCACCCTGCAGTTCTTCCGTCTGTAAATTCTGCCAAGTCCAGAGTGCTTCTAGTTTGAAAGGTGGTTTATGGCAAAGGCAAAAAGACAAGAGTGCCCTGTTGCAAGAGACTTTCTGAAATGCTTCAGGAGCTCTGTGACTTCTGATTTTGCTAGCTTGAAATTTCACTTTTAACTTTCTGATAGAAGTATGAGGAAGAATTCATGCTTTCCACCTGCTAAATGAAGATTATTGTGGAAATAATAGGTCCMTGGAAACTGAATTTCTTTTCTCTTCTGTTCTGTTCCCAGAGGCCTTAGTTATTAATGACCCTGACTTCCAGCACGAGGATTTGAACTTCCTCTCCCGTAGCCAGCGCTATGAGCAAGCCATCAGGAAGAGCGCTCTGATGGTGATGAAGTTAAGAGAATATGGAATTGCAGATCCTGATGAGATCTACATGTTTAAAAGGTACCTGAGGGTAGAGGTTGTTTCTTGTAATCACTTTTATCATCTCTAACAATGCTGGAGCTGCTTCTTCTTTTTTCTTTTTTTTTTTTTTCTCCCCCATGTTAGTTTTCTCTGGAATTCTAGATGGCACCAACCCCTTCCCTGCCCACTTCAGATCCAGCCTTGACTTCGTCAGTGTGGTTTTTCCCAGTGGCCTTTTTTTTTTTTTCCCAGGCCTACAGTTAATACCAAAAAAAAATGACCTTCAGCACCATATACGAATGACAACAGAGCAGGTAGTCTGATTTGTAAAAAGAAATGAAAGAATATTTACCAAAATAATTTGACTCTGCATGGATCTAATAAGGCTGCAACTTTAGTGGGACTTCTTATTTCTGCCTACTTCACTTTGCACTTAGACCCGATAAAGTTGTGTTATAGGCATGCTTGAAAGTGTTCCAAGTTGGTTTATTAGTTCTTGTTTATAAYTTTCCTTCTCTGTTCTCCAATCTTCTGGTGTAATAGTGTTTCCCTTTGACCTAGAGGCTTTTGTATCTGACRTTTCATTTACCTGATAGCATTGCCCTTCGGTTAAGTTAATAAAAACACTGAGCTTGTCTGAGTTGAGTTGCTTGCAGGGAGCTTTTTTCCTGCAACGCAGGCGCAGCCACTGCTGCAGTGCACACACCCTATGCAATGCATGGACACCCCCACGCAGCTCTATAGGCGCGCACCTATAGCACGATATCCTCCAGCCCCACGCCCTACGCACAGTTTCCAAACTGGAAAACTTAAAGGATGTGATGTTATGACCTGACTTTATTGAAGTTCATAACATAGGTTGAAGATGTTAGTTCAAATGTAAAATTCTGTCTGTTGGGATTGGCAATCAGATTTCTACATAAGAAAGCTGAAGGTGTTTTACGGTTATTCCTCTCTTGTGTTCATCCTTAAGAGTAGGAAGAAAGATGCGCTTGCATACACAGTCGCTGTCAGTGAGCTCTTTGGGATGAGCTCATCTTCCTAGCTGTTACATAGTACAAGAACTTCATTATCAAACTCTGTCTACCAGAATGACAAACTTTAAAGCTTGATTTATGAATAGCCTTTGAAGAAAACAGCTTCCCCCAACTGTCCTGAAGATATGCTTACACAACTGTTGCTGTTGTGACACGTTGAGAACTGCATATTCCCCCTTGTTTCCATAATGATTTGTTAGGCTCCAATGCTTAAGAACTGCTAAATATGTTTAGAAGCTGTTTTAATTGCTAATTGGTTATGTTTTTTTTTCCTCGTGTTTAACATGTCAGCTCAGTCAGTAGTAATTGATGTTTCTTTCACAATCTTAACTACAGTAGGATGAAAATCAGCATGAAAAAGTGGAGATTACTCCTGTCTGATATACAGCTTTTTTGAAAAAAACAGTCTAGTGGTCTTAATTCATCTTCGGATTTAAATGTCTTTGAGGAAAACAGAAGTAAGAGAAGAAATTAAAAAAAATAAATAAACAACTCAGAGAAACAATGGCACAGAAGAGATGTAAGAGCTGCAATTCAACAGATGATTCCCGTGTTCATGAGCATTATTACACAGTTGTGCACCTTTCTTTTGGGACTTTCTCTGCTTCTCTCTTAGCTTGGGGCCAGGAATACTTTCCAGCCCATGCAATCAGAAGCTCCAGTATGGTCCCAGGCTACTACAGTGTAGTAGTAGCCAGTGGGATCATACTACCTGCAGGGATTTTTCTTTTGATACCACGGCAATGAACTCCTTTATTAGTCATATTTGCTAACTGTGAAACCCAGTAAGCACCGTTCAGGCTTGTTGCCCCCACCAAACAGATTCTTTCTTCATAATGATCTTGGAAACTGCGGAATCTAGAAAAGATATGCTGAAGAGTTTGCTTTAAAGCCAGTGACTCTGTACCATAGCCTAATTCTGCAGTCTGAGAATGTCTTTGCGTTTGTTCATTTAGATGTGGAGTCTCAGGAAGTGTAGACTTTTGTTGTGCTGTTCCCTGATAGGTATGCTATCAAACCAGATTGATCTGTCAAATATGAGCGTATTTTTTGTGTGGGTGGTGTTGGCTGCTGTGAAATCTGGAAAGGCTACATCCAAGTAGCACGTCACTACACACGCCTCTCCTGTAAGTGGATTTGGTATTTCAGCTGCCTTAACTCACTGTGGCTGTTTTAGCAAATCTGACTTTGGATCAGCCCAGTCTCTGATAGTTGATGAAATTGCCAGTATTAGATGCAACATTATCTCTTGATGTAGCAAATTACTCCAGCAGTTAAGCAACTCAGGCTGCGCAAGCCCACAGACAGTGTGGGAAATGCCAAGTGTGATTAAAGAAACAGGAAGGAACAGAGTTCAGAAAGAGAAGAAAAAGCTTATTCATTCCTTCACATATACTACCTCTTACCAGGTTGTCCTTTGTCCTGAGACATCTTTTCTCTTCATAGACACTTATTCAAGCAGTGTTTTAGAACTCAATGTGAATACTTAGGAAGTAAAAGGTGCAGTTACTACTGTATTGCTCCTGGAGGGGAAAAAAAATATAGTAGAAAGTGTAGAGAAAAAAAAATAGAGCAAAGTTTAGGACATTTTCAGTCTTCTCTCTTTGTAACTTTTCTAAGCCTTTGGTGAGCCTGTTAAGTTCTGCTGTAGCATATATGTTTATAAAACAGATAATTTACAGAATATTTTCTACTCAAAGAAGTGGCTACCTTGATCCCAAGAACTCTAGATTGTTACTCGGGCTGGGTTAAAACACAGTTAACTCACTTGTAGCCTGTACTGGATTACTTGATGACAATAGTTTTGGTTCTGGAAAAGGTTCATGGTTCATTGTCTTGTCCATTTAAAAACTGTTTTAAAGCRACCATCTTCAACTAGAAATTCGGTGAAACTTAGGAAGATGTCCCTCTTTCTCTTGTCCGAAGGCTCCTTTTGRCACTTTTTCTGTGGTGATCTGTTTTTGAGTCGTCAGTTATTTACTCTCTACTCCCAGGTGCTTGTTCATAATGTAAAATATCCTTTGCAAAAAAATTGAAAAGCTCTATACAGAGCATCTGCTCTTCAGTGCAGATCTGTATTGGTAACTAACTCCTAAGAAATGTGCTCCTTGGGTAGGTATTATTACCTTAAGGGTGGCAGATTTATTTACTCTCCATATAYTTAGGGCAAGTGGAGGTTTTGTAGGTTTTCTGACAGGTAGTTTCAGAGCACTTATTTGTTCTTTTCTTCGTCTTTGATACTCAGAAAAAAATAGCGTTCACCTATTAGAGGTGGAAGATGGAGAGAAAAAAATCATTCAGACTTTACAGAATTTTGAAGGGAAATTGCTGTTGCTCCATAGACTTTTATTCAAGGAAATATTTTAGCATATTTAGTATTGCAGAGTTTCTTTTTTGGGGGGAATATATTTTGCCCTTCCTCATTGCTAAGATACTAATTAAGCTTTCCCTCATGGAAAAAAAAAAAACCCTATTTGATGAAGTATATCTACTTAAAACATGTATTTTTTACTTTGCATCCTGTAGTACTCCATAATAGTAATTTTATTAGAAGTCAGTTCATAATTCAACAATTGATGGAAGCAGATACRGGTAATAGACTCCTTTGAAAGGAGCTCTCACTGGGTTACCAAGGATTTCTCCTTACCAATACTCAGTGGCTCAGTTGGCCATTAGCTGTAGTGGGATTTGTAAGGCTGGGAGATCCCTGGGGGAGGGAAACAACTTGATTTTAATTATTCCATTTAATTTCTCAAGGAGTCTTTGTAGCATATTTTTTTTTTCTAGTTAACTAGGAAAAAAACAAAAATTGAAAGGTGAATAAAATGTTTGAAAGAAATATTTTCCCCACTTCTTGCTTCTGATGCCTCCATGTTTTGGAGGTTGTTTGTAGACCACAAAAATCAATGACGTTGCAAGCAACACCTATTTTATACTACAGTTGTTGAAAAGACTTCCAGGGGCATGTGAACATTAAGACTGAGATCCAGATCCCTCTATTTTTCTCCTGTAGAACATGTCTGGGCTCTTTTCCTGATCCGTTGGGTCTCCACTTCAGCATGTTTCAGTACACCTTACAGACCCAAATGACTGATGCTCAGAAGGAGAAATGGATGCCTCTGGTCCTTGGAGTCAACATAATTGGCACCTACGCCCAAACCGAAATGGGACATGGTTAGTTCCCTTCAGGGATCAATGGGTAAACTGTTCCAACTCCAGTTCCTAATTTGATGCTCCATAGGTAAATCTAAAAGGCAAAAGGTAAAATAGTGAATTTGGTTATCTACTATTTTTTCTACCCAATAGACAGACAATTGCTCCAGGTTTTAACAGTCACAGGTCTTGTTTCTGACTTTTCCAGAATGCACCTCTGAGCTGATCACTGCCTTCCTAGTTCTTTGCTGTTGTTTTAAGATGAGGAGATTCTTCTAAACCCTGGCAGTCTGAATTTTAGTTCCACAAGTTGGGGATATGTCGGTCAACAATACCATGGTTTTACTTTTTACCTGAATTTAGGACACGTAAGTTGCAGAGTTCGTAGAGCACAGATGGTTTGCAGAAATGGGTCGGAAGTGTGTCTTTAGATGCAACATGGTGTGCTGAGATTATACTGCTTAYGTTTGTGAAGTGAGGTATGCTTTGCCCCAAGCACTCTTTTTCCAGATGGCACTCCATTGCAGCTGTATAATTTCACAGTAAGATCTTGGTTTCAGAGAAGAAAAATCTTGCTCRTGTTACTGAGGAGAACTGCCTGCACTTAAACAGAAGAGCATTTAATGGAGAAGAACCCATTATTTTGACGCAGAACCTGGAAGCCAAATGCATCAGCAAGTAGAGTTTAACAGCTCACAAGACTTGAGTGCATGTGCTTGCATCTGAACCTGGAAAGCATAATATGTACAAGACCGTTGGACAACTGCCTGAGTTAGGTGGTGATGCTAGTTGCCTGCCTGCTAAGAGAGCTGCTGTGTTACCGAAACACTTCAAGAAGATGCAGCGGAGGGAATGTCGTCTGCTCTGCTTCAGAGATGGAATTGGCAAAAAGCTCAACTCTGAAAGTTGAGACAACCAGATAATGAAATATGCCTGCTAACCTTGTTTGCTTTTACACACTTCCTTGTTTAAATCAGACACCGCTGCGCCACAATGATGACTTACCTGCTGTTTCACATTAGATTATTGCACTTTCTTGCCTGGTGATGGTTTGGTTTGCTTGCAGTTTTCATATTTGGTGAAGAACAAAACCAAATATATTGTTTTGAAAGTTAACAGAGCTAATGTGGTGATAGTATGGTGAAGTGAATGTACTTTCCATGCTGAATTATTTAAAATGCAACTGTATGGCCTTCCTGCTGGGGGTGTTGGGTACCTAACTACTTCATCAGTAAGGTTTCYGCAATAATCTTGATTAAGTTCTGCTTAATTATTATTWTTTTTTTTAATGCTATGTTTTGAAATTGGTAGTGGGGAAACAGGCCTCTAGATTATTGACTAGAATCCCAGCCTAGGTGGGTAGTAACTCAGTTTTAATGACTCTCTTCTTGATGGCCTGTTTTAACCTGTTTCATAGTCTCCAAATAAAAAGRGACTTTCAATTAAAGAAAGACAGACTTGAAAGGAGATAAAAATTAATTATTAAAAGACTATACTGTTTCCACTTAYAGATTTTAAAGAAGGATTTTGATCTTTGACTGTCATCTTTCTACTTCTCACAAGCACTAACACTAGTTTCAGACTTGGTATTCTTGAATTTTTAAAACCTTCTTTGACTGTTCAGTCAAAAAGCTTTAGAAAGTATTACTACCGGCTTTCTTTAAATGGTTGAATTTATTTGTAGATGCATGAAACATCAAGAACTACAGTTAGTTTTACTTATAGAGCATCCTGTAGTTTATATCAATGCATAGTTTGAGATTAAAAAGAATATATCCTTCCCACTTGAAGGATGCCAAATGAGTTCGGGCGAAGTTCACAACACTGCTCTTCCCAAAACACCTATCTTGCCTTAAAAAAACCACAGACATTATATTGCATCATGCATGAAGGTGCCAGATGGACAGCTCTCTGAGGATCAGAACTTCMATCCACAGCCCAACTGTTTCAGTACTTTGCTTGCTTATGTGCAGTTTTGGTCGTCTTGAACATTGTGGACTAATGTTATTCTCTTCCCTTATTTCTCAGAAGCTGGTAAATGTTCTGAGAAATAGTAAAGACATTTTGAGAAATTTATTGCAAGCAAGTGGAATCCTAAAAGACTGTAGCCTCTGGCAGTCAAATAACTTTACTGTCCCTTGAAGTTATAAGGGGCAAGAGTGAAGGGGGATCTGTAAATAGTCAAAAGTATCACTAGGAATAAGAATTAGCAAAGCATTTTATTTTATTTTATTTTTTATTTAGAGACTTAATAGAGCAGTCGTGTCTGCCTGAACCGTAAGGGAAAAAAAAGTAGTTATGATAAAAACATGTTTAGCTGGAGAGACTCTGTGCTGGTGATTTACAGACTGAAAAAAGTTGGGCGCCTTGCAAAGTTGTTTGTTGTCACAACTTTGACTTGCGCATGCAGAGCACTGTCCTTTTTAAGGGAACTCTTATAAAAATAGTAGAAGGTGGGAGTTCACAGATGGAATTTTGGGAGAGGAATAATATAATATTGCCTCTAGTCCTTCAAAACAAACGAGCAAAAAAGAATTATCTAATCTTGAGTTTAGTTTAAAAAATGAAAGCATTCAACTGGACTGTATCTTCAACAAAAGGACGGTCAGATTCAACTCATTAATTTACACATGCCCTAATTTTTAAATGGTGCTAAGTGTCTGGCCTTCCTTCATTTGTTTTGTATTAATCCTTTTCTTTTAGTCATACAGGCTTCAAAAATACATGAATGTTGCAGATGTAGTTTTATGTGGGATTAGAAAGAAATGCATTGCAGCGGAGAAAAGGACAGTGCTTTAGCTTTCTAAAATATGCTTGCTGAGTTGTGATTTTTCTGATTTACACAATCCTTTTTCTTTTTTTTTTCCCTCTTCCTCTCTCCCTGAATCTCCACCATGAATACTCACGCTTGCTTCCCTACCATAACATTCCCTTCACACCTTCACACTCCCCTCCCGTGGCGCTTCTTCACAGCTTTGTTCATCGTGGACGGCCTGAGCCTCTGGACCTTCATCTGGGCATGTTCCTCCCTACCCTTCTCACCCAGGCAACCCCCGAACAGCAGAATCGCTTCTTCATGCCTGCCTGGAACCTGGAGATCATTGGCACATATGCCCAGACCGAAATGGGCCATGGTACAGTACATTCCCTAAATGCTATTTTTAAGCATGGCTTTGTGTGCAGAGGACTTCCCCACACAGGAAAAAATGGTGTGTGTTTCTGCCACAGTCTTTACATATGGTTGTGGCTGTAGGGAAAGATGGACTGCCTCTGAAATTTTTCATAATTGATCATAATACCACATGCAGCTTGCCCTTTTTTTCTCCTATGGGAGAGGTTGTGATTTTGTTATATGTGCATATTGAGTGCCCTTCAAATCAGTGCAAATGATTTAAAAAAGAAACACCTTGTATATATGGATATGGTCATATTAATGTGGTGGCATCCATTTGTTTCTACACTTACCATTCTTTCCAAAGTGACTTCTGCTTTACCTAGCATTAAATGTGAAGATAAAAGGACAAAGTTTTTTAAGCATCGCTTTTAGGATCTTAAAAAAGTAAGAGCTGCTTTTCAGCTTGGGACTGAACTTGGATCAAAGACCATGTGGACAACTTGGTTTCATTGCCCATGTTTTGCAGGGAACTTTATCCCACAGCTCCTTAGTTCACTCCCATGTGTTCTTTTTAATTGGACCATGAAATGGTTTCTGCTGGTTGCATCTCAAGTAGTCTTTATTCTTTGCTATTCCTTTGCTTTTGAGCTTTGAAATGGACTGTGGTAACTCCAGCAGTATTTTGACTGCAGCATTTTTTTAAAAACAATTTCTGAATTTCAAAGGAAGCATGCTATGCCTTGTGAAAACTAAGATTTTGACACCTGAGAGTTGCAGATGGGAACTTTTCTTTTTCTAAAAATGAGCGGGATCCACCTTTGTGCTGAAGTGAAGTATAAAGACTGAAAGAAGCGTAAAATAACTGCAAGTCTGTGGAGAGTCTCTTCCATCTAGTGAGGTTTGAAGAAGCCTTCCAGGAAAGTAAGTCTGTTAAGCTGCCTGTGGGATGCTACTGTTAAGCTCCACACTTTGGAAACGTTACATGAATGCATCAAGGTGATGTCCTGTTTCTTGGTGAAATGTTTGTGTAGAGTATCTGGCTCTGTATTATTCTGTCAGCCCGGACTGCCAGGAGCGCTTCTAGCTTGGCTAGCTTAATTTGAAAGGCATGGCCATATGTCACAAATGCAAAGAAAATGCCATTTGGTAAGACAGGTATGTGGGAACTGTTAAATAAAGATTTSGGGAGCAGAAGATAGAGACTGGAATTGTTACTTCCATCTTTTTTGCAGTCTCTTCATCTAACTGCAAAAGTAATTTAGTATATGCATGCTAGTGCTTGTGCTATGGGTGATTTGCTTGGGAAGAACTGCTCAGTTGAGTGAGGAGAATGTAGGCCTGATGAGGGAATAAAGAGTTGGGCACTGATTATTCCTTTTTGTAGCTGAGAAGTGTGATTGTTACTCTACAATTAAGCAGTTCACAGTTTTAGTCAAAGCAGATGAGTGGGCCTCTGTGAAGGTTTTCACTGAGAAAATGCTCATGGTGCGTACTAGGAAAAACGTCTCAGATCGGAGGTGCTTGGAAACTAGTCGTGGAACACTGTGAAAAATAGCATGTTTCCAGAGAATTAATTTCAAGTTTCAGAATACAACCTGACTTTTCCCCTTTCTTAATTGGTTTATATTTAGTCCATTATAAAACCTGAAAGGTACAGCTAAAATTTGCACATCACTACTGGAGTTCAGCTTTCCATTGTCTAATTCTGTCCTTGTCTGTTTTATGATTGACTTCATGCCAAAAACCAAATGTGCCTGCTTGTTCACAGGAACTCATCTTCGGGGCCTGGAAACCACAGCCACGTATGACCCAGCTACACAGGAATTCATTCTCAACAGCCCCACTGTGACYTCCATTAAGTGGTGGCCAGGCGGACGTAAGTACATCCGTGTCTGTTTAAGTCTAGAAGATGGGTGAAAAACCTGAGGAGGTGAGTCATRTGTGTTCTGTCTCCAGGATGGTAATGAAAGTTGATTCAAAATTTGGTTAAATTTGGTAGTTTGCTTTCAGCCAGGTAGCAGCCATAGCCATGCTCCGTAAGGCTGCTCAYTGTCTGTGCTCTGGATTGTTTCTGCAAATCAAACTGTATGGGTTTGGTATAATAATTTTAATACAACAGTCTGAGGTAGCCTGGAATTAGGCAGAACTTTCTCAGGTTTCACTGGTAGGTTTAAGTTTAATTGTATAGTTAAGAGAATCATAGTGGATAACATGGGGGACTTTGTCTATGTGTAGAACTTGCATGKAAATCAGTGCTGTAAATGTGTTAAATATAGTGTGGTTAATATAATCTCAGATCCTGCCTTAAGGAATWGGGAATGTACGTTTAGTCCTGATAATTTTCTTTGATTTCCCCTCCTTTTGCAGTTGGAAAGACCTCGAACCATGCTGTCGTCTTGGCTCAGCTCTACACTCAGGGCCAGTGCAAAGGGCTGCATGCCTTCATCGTTCCCATACGGCAGCTGGGCACCCACGAGCCTTTGCCAGGTAGGAATCTACAGAAGGATTTAGGACTCCTGTAAGCATTAATCTGTGTCTCTGCAGCTTTGTGTAGCTGCATGTGTCTTGTTAAGGTATGTGCGTATTTCTCAGTGCTGCTGGGTTTTGTCTTGGCAGGTATTACGGTGGGTGACATTGGKCCAAAATTTGGCTATGATGAAATGGATAATGGCTATTTGAAAATGGACAACTTCAGAATTCCTCGGGAGAACATGCTGATGAAATATGCACAGGTAAAGCAGGGAGCTTTGGCATAAGCTGTTAGAAGCAAACACCTCAATGAGCAACGCTTAGCCTTGAGCAATATGTTAGACCACACGTGTCTAACTCCTTGKTTTCTTCTGGGTTAAATCCATACGTATCTCACTGCTCCTAGGAAGGGAACCCTTTTTAACTTTTAACCAGAAGCACTTCCTTTGGAGCCTCTGAACGTCCTGAGCCATGGTGGTTGAGCTGTATGCAATAACTGACAGGCTACCATGTATCTGCATTCCCCTTGTTGCCTGATGGTATCAATACCAGGAAAGGCTTCTTGACTGCATGAACTGCCCTCACTTACTGCATTTTATTTCTAATGTGAATCAATGGTTGGCTACTGTGAAGTTTCCTTCTACAGAATATCCTTATTCTGTCTTCTGTCTTGCAAATGAATACAGTTTATCTTTTATTTCAGCACAGTTGCTTTTTATCCAAAATTGCTCTGTGAAATGTGCAGGGAGTGCGGGAAGAGCGGACCTGTACTAGGGCTGATAGAAAAGATTTTGCTTCTAGTTCCTGCCCAAAGACTCTAAATGAAGCTCAGAAAACAGTTCACAAGGTTTCCCTATGGTGTTCTGGGCTTTCTTTCAGGTACTTCTCAGGTAAATACTAGCAAGACCATAGGCTGATTTTAAGTGTTACTTGATGAGTTCAGAGCCTGAGACATGAACATGTAAAGGGGAAAAAATTTAAGGATCAATAAACTGTGTTGGTTGGTTTTGTTTGTTTGTTTGTTTGTTTGTTTGTTTGTTTTTTTGGTAGGTTGAACCAGACGGCACTTATGTGAAGCCACTCAGTGACAAGCTGACCTATGGGACCATGGTGTTCATCCGATCCATCATCGTAGGAGATTCAGCTCGGGCCCTGTCCCGGGCTTGCACTATTGCCATTCGCTACAGTGCAGTGAGACACCAGTCTGAGCTAAAGACCGGGTAAGTGTGAAATGCAAAAGCAGCCTGAGTCAGTGRTGGAATTCCCAAATGCTGAGGGGGAGGAGGAACTGTGATTTGATGCCGTTTTCTTTAACATTTGATAGAGTTTTAAAACATTTTTTTTAYCCTGAAAAGTGAAAATCTTTTATGTTTGACTACCAAGTTCTGCTTTTTGCTGCCAGATGCTTTTGCTGTATGGCCTTAAATACTGACTTGGATAGTTCAGGCTGCATCCCTATCAAGTGAAAAAAATCACTTGGAGTTAAACAGAACTTGTGTAGGAATCCGCCAGGCACTGACGTGCTGATCCTTCTGTGTTCTGCTCTAGGGAACCAGAACCCCAGATCTTGGATTATCAGACCCAGCAGTACAAACTCTTTCCTCTCCTGGCCACAGCATTTGCTTTTCATTTTGTGGGAACCTACATAAAAGACACCTATCGTCGTATTAGTGCGGACATCATTGAAGGGGATCTGAGCGAGCTGCCAGAGGTACTGTGTCTGAAAGTCAGAGGGCTTTTGAGRCTTCAAAGTAAGATTTGCTTGCAATGTGGGAGGCAAGGAGTCAAGCCTTTAGGCTGCTGCTCATGAGATGGCTGGTACTTATTAGATGCAATGATCGTAATCCCTGGATATGCTGGTGACTTCCACCTGTGTGCACTATACATCTTGAAGAACAAAGTGACTTTCTAGGAATGGTTGTTTATTAACTGGAAGGAGAGTTAAGACTGGTCTTTGCCTCTGTTTRCACTTTCTTGATTGTCCTTCCAAGTAACTACAGTAGAATGGGTGACTTCCTCAATACAATGCTTAAGCTTTAATCAATTAGGATTATGAAATGTAATAGCTTTTGATTGATGGCTAGGGATTCTACGTARGGATATAATGTGACAAAAGGCAACTGAAAGCAGTTCTGTACAAAAAAAAGCTGATAAATGAAGAGTGCAGCAGGCTAATGGAATTCATACTCTGAAGAATACTATGCATCATACATAGGAAGGACTAGATGATCAAAAGATGCTTGCCTATACAATTCACTCTCGCTTTYGAGAAGTGAATTGTAAGGACTCTGTTTTCCTGAGCCTAGGAAAAAATAAAAATAAAGCAGGGTGCTGTTGGACTATGGCCAGGAGGCATTGATGGTATTTTTTAYGGGAGCTACTGATCTTAGCAGGATATGCTCAAGCTAAGAATGTAATTCCACTGTTAACTTGTTTACTTTCGTCCATCAGCTCCACGCGCTGACAGCAGGGCTGAAGGCCTTCTCTTCCTGGATTGCCAATGCTGGAATTGAGGAATGTCGAATGGCTTGTGGTGGCCACGGGTACTCCCGCTGCAGCGGCCTTCCTGATATCTATGTCACCTTCACCCCTTCCTGCACCTATGAGGGAGAAAACACAGTCATGATGCTGCAAACAGCTAGGTATTTCCAACTGGAAACTTTCTTGTTGTGGCATTATGGTCTTTGTAGCAGAAATCATCAGAGTATCTAAATTATCCTGTACTAACATTAAATTATTTCCACTTCTGCTTTTGCCTTGTTGATGCATGTTTTTGCCTGCACCTATTTCTTGCTGATTGASTCTACTTTATGGGATTTCTGATCCAAGTGCTCTCTGTGTAACATAGGGATTTATCTGTTTTTTTCATCTTCAGGTTCCTTATGAAAAGCTACATGCAAGTTGGTTCTGGTCAGCGTGTCACTGGCATGGTGTCCTACCTTAATGATCTTACCAGGCAACACATTCAGCCCCAGCACGTGGCTGCTAGGCCTGTGACTGTGCTTGTCAATGATCCAGTCAGTTTGGTGGAGGCCTATAAAGCACGTGCTGCCTGGTGAGTTTGCCTTCATTAGACTGACCTAGATCCTGATAAAAACATGTGGGAGATGGTAGTCTTGTATTCCCCTCTTCATATGAGCTTGTCAGGCGGTTGCTTTTGCTTTGTTCTGAGTGTCATTTTTCAAGAAGTGATGACCTGTATTACGTGTGGTCAGTGTTAAGTGCTTTAAAGTTACAAGAGACTGCATACAACAAAATGCTGTCTGCTCCCTGTTCTATTTTGAAGTGCATCTATTTCTGATTTAATAAGTAAAAGCATATTCAAAACATAGAAACATGAGCTTAGCTAAAACTGCTTGTACTCAGGAGAGAAACAATCATATTAAAGCCTACTGTGCAGAAAGGATTAAGTTGGCAGTAGAATAGGTAGATGTGAGTAGATACTCAAGCCCTACGTCTGTTTTTTCAAATGTCATCTTAGCTGCCTGGTGCTGTGTGGTCTAGCTGCAGCACTGATGACACCGATCTTAAAGCCACGAGCATTTGTGCAAGGCCTCTGTTTTTCTGATGTGTTAAACTAAATTTTCTGTGAATTCAGGGTCATCTTGTTAATGTGGTGTCACTATATAACCAGTTTCTCTCTTCCTGTTTCTATGAAATAGGCTTGTAGAAGCTGCAGCAAAGAACTTGCAAGCTGAGTTGAACCACAGAAAGAGCAAAGAGGATGCCTGGAACGTGACTTCTGTTGATCTTGTCCGAGCGTCTGATGTCAGTGATGTTTCTAATAAATAAGAGTGCTCTAGGGACTTCCTATCCTTTCATTAACCTGATTCATCTTTCTTTTATCTATTTTGTAGGCACACTGTCACTATGTGGTAGTGAAACTCTTCACAGCAAAGCTCTCAGAGATCAGTAATGCAGCTGTCCGTGCGGTCATGACTGATCTGTGTCTCCTGTATGCACTGTATGGAATCAGCAAGAACACAGGCGACTTTCTGCAGGTCAGTGACACTCTAATGTCATACCTTTATGAAGACAGATTCCAGCCTTAGAAATATACTTTAAATACAAAGCCTCATGAATGCTTAGGCATAACATATCCACTGGTGACTTCCAGAGACCAGTGCATGTCCCATGGATGGCTCTTGTGTTAGTTTTCCCTTGGGATCCACTGTCTTAATTAACTACTCATTTTCCTATTGATGACCAAGTTAATGTTTTTGTTTGTTTTTTAAATACAAGCTAGTATTTCATAACCTGCTGTTTTTTCTCAGTAAAGGAAGACTGACGTAGGCTGGACTGTGGGGAGAAGGCTTTTAACTTGTGTACTCTTCTGATAATCTTCTGTTGTGCGTGGTTTTGTTTTTGTTTTTTTCCCAAGGCGAATATCTTGACAAGTACCCAACTTAATCAAGTGAACCAGCGTGTGAAGGAGCTCTTGGCTATAATCCGTCCCAATGCAGTAGCACTGGTGGACTCCTTTGATTTTAGTGATGGTTACCTTGGGTCTGTGCTTGGCCGGTATGATGGCAACATCTATGAGACCATGTTTGAGTGGGCAAAGAAATCACCACTGAACAAAACAGAGGTAAAGAAACCTTATTTATTTCTCCTAGGCAGATTTGTCCAGAGAAATAATTTAATTTAGGATTGCTGGTTCTGATCCAGTGACATCATCAGGTATAACTGATCAGAAATAATCATCATTAGTAATTATGGACCAAAACTAGCAAACTGCTTTTGCCTCGCTGCTTTCAGCCTGTTTATTTTAGTCTCTCCCAAATGCACATGCAGTTCTCTGTCAGATACTTAGATTTCCTCAGCTGGGAGAGAAAATTGCACCCTGCCTAGAGAAACAGTTGGCTAATCTCATTGAGTTTGAAAGCAATTAACACATGTTTTTAATTTTGCCTAAAGGCAGAAAGCTTTCAATAACTTCTGGCAGATGTTCTAGTGCCCTCAGGCAGATCTTCTAGTGCCCTCAGGCAGTTGTTCTGACTCTGTGGGAAGAAATAAGTTTGTCCCGTGCAGTCCTTTGAAAATATCATAGTGCTGCTTATCTACTTTTAGGCTCTAGCTGCAGCTAGCTCCGCTGCATTAAATAAAAATAAAAATAATAATAAAAATATAAAGAGGGGGTGGGCCTGAGAGATATCAGTGTGTCCCTCTGTCCCTCTTCTGTCAGGCAGAAGAGAACTCCAAATCCTGTCACTCTGTAACCTTTGCTGCTTTGAGTTGATTTGAGGAAACTTCATCGCCTATCACAGGTTGCCAGAGACTACTTTAATTGTAACCAAATCCCRCCAGAGCTCGCTCAGTTTCTCATGATTCCCAGTTCTGTGGGGCTTATGTGGTTCATGAGGAAGATTGCACTCTTGAGATCTCCATCAATTTTGTGTTAATTAATACTACAAGGGATTGTCTGTGTAGATAGGATTTTTATTTCTTTCCCACAAATGAGAGAGAGTGAGGAAGCTATATGTTTTAGGCTTATTGTYTCCACCTTTCTCGGGATTTTAGTGTTTCCCTGCTCTGCTTATATCCCCAAAGTGACTGTTTGAAGATGTTTTTGATTGTTTATTTGTTTTTTTAGTACAAAACCACYGTAAAATGTAAACATCTGCTTTTGAAACGCGAGCCTGATGATTTAACCACTGTTTTGTACTCTTACAGGTTCACGAATCTTTCCATAAACACCTGAAGCCGATGCAAGCCAAGCTGTAAAGCCAGCTCTCTTAAAAAATGCACAATTTTCCTGGTCTGAAAAACTGGATGTTTGCATCCTTTCTTCAGGCACCTAAATCAAACCTTTCAAATCCTGATAGCTGTAGGACAGTAAATAATTGTAGCTTTTCCTTTTACTTATGTAAATTGAGGAGGTGATTGGGGGAGTGCGTATGGATTGATGGCTGTTTTGGTTTTGAAGTGCAATTATAGTGGGGGAAAAAAAACTCTTAAACTTCTGAGAAAGCTTTATGGATTCATACAAGAATTGCTTTTGTGAAGCTGCTAATTAGGCAGTTACTGTTATCTAAAAAGGTAGGAAAGGTAGGAGGGTTTTACTACTAAGTAGTTAATAGCCCACGGGCAGTAGCTTCAGTGAGCAGTTATGTCCTTTTCACCTCCCCCCCAAAAAAAAGCATCACCATATCTCGATGTCTTGATCTTTTTCRTAGGACCAGCACCAGCCTGCTCTCCTTGTTTAACAAATATTTAGGCTGTATAAAGTCTACAGTCTAATTCACAATTTTATGTGGCATCTGCATGAGATGCTACTCACCTGATGTGGCTGGGAACTGCTCTTTCTAGAAAATACCTTTGCGTATTCCAGTGCATCCTTTACCTGCCCTGCAGACTCCCTCYCTGCCTGTCATCTGTGATCTCCAAGACTGGCCCCTTACTCTTTTTTTTAAATAATAGTTTAAAGGAGAAGCTGCTGATGCTACTGTGAAACAAGACAAGTAGTGTTAATCAGCCAGGAGCCATTAATGGATGGTCTGCCCTKCTTTTAACCGTTAGTATTTTCAAAGCACTATCTCAAAGCACTTTACAAATTCTAGTTACTGTCATTTGATGTGGAAAAAAAATCAGTTGTAGTAACTGCACATTCGATTGGTAATGATGAAATCAATATTTGAGGGCAGAAATTTGGGCAGAGTTTTGGAGTCTTCAGGTTGTTCTGGGATGTTCATGTATATCTCCTTTTTCAAAGGCACTCTTCAAGAAAGCAATCCAAAATGAAATGTCTGTATCTTTTTTCCCCACTCATGTTTCCAATGAGCTTTCTCTGATCAGCTGAAACATTGTGTTTTTATACTGATTTGCACAATACTGTCTAGATGAACAGTTTAAAACTGCAGTTTTTAACATGGCCTCTTGATGCCTAGTGAAATCAGTAAACTAAACAAAATCACTGCTGTTGTTTCAGCACCAATAACTTTGTCTAGTAACAGAATAAAACATTTTTCCACATCAGATGAAGATCAACTTTGAGTTTAAATTGGTAAAGAGCTTCAACACAAGCCAAAATCCTGCAGTTCAGAGGCAACAGAGTACAAGGAGGTTGTTCTCTGACAGCTTTGGTATCTGTTATGTCTCTTAACTTGGGATCTTAGCAGAATTTTTTAGGACTAACAATCTTTAAACAGGATGTTCAGCTCCATGCATGGTAGCTGAACAGAAATGCTTAATTTTAAGTAAATAAATAAATAAATAAATMAAACTTAGGCCTTTTGGCTGCTGAGTTTCCCAGGTTGAATGGCCCTGCTGCTCCTCAGGATACCAAGGGGGCAAAAGGCTTTGCCTTCTACTTGGTAGAGCAGGCTGCTCACCTGGGGAGGATCTATAAATAAATAAATAAATAAAACTTAGGCCTTTTGGCTGCTGAGTTTCCCAGGTTGAATGGCCCTGCTGCTCCTCAGGATACCAAGGGGGCAAAAGGCTTTGCCTTCTACTTGGTAGAGCAGGCTGCTCACCTGGGGAGGATCTATAGAGAACAAGCAGGGAAAGGCTAAAATATGTTAATGAAAACTTTACTAGCAAAATGTATGTACAGATTTAATAAACTACAAAAATGTTTTCAGATGAAATGTCGTCCTCTTCCATTGTGTGTGTGTTTGTTTGTTTGTTTGTTTTCCCTGTGGCCTCTCTATTTGCCTTCGGTGGATGTCTTTGAAAGCACTAGAGGAAGGAAACATGGTATTCAAGAGGTGGCTTGTGCAGAGAGGCGGTTGCTTTTGCTGCTRCTCTCAACCATTGTGTTAGTAAATGGAAGCTTTTATTTTTCCTGACTGACTTTGTGAAAATGCCTGCAGGAATTCATCATTGAATTAGTTGGGTTTTATTTGGTTTATTGCTAGCGTGACCTTTCTGGCTTGGCTTTGCATGGGGCTCTTAGGGCAGTTAGAAGTTTTTCTTGCCCTTAGTGCTCCTTAAAACCACCAAAAATAAAACTGATAGAGAGCAAAGCTACTAGTGACATTTTTACTCTGTATTGTTGTTTACAAGCTTGGGAAAGCCAATCACTGCTAATAGCAAAGACTTAATGATACAGCTTTTGGCACTAAAAGTCATTTCTTAAATTTGTTTCTCTCCCCTTGTTATTTTTTCCAATGTTCTGCAAATTCTGTACTTTGTTGCTATATTGGCATTTGGGCAATAGTATTTTTTTTTTTCAGCTGGCTGCTGAAATGTTCCCAAAAAGGCACAACGTGGTGCAACTTGCTGTTTCAGTGCTCTGTTTCAGCTTGTACTGAACATGCTTGTGTCCTGATTAGGACTCCTGTGTCTGGGCAAAATGCAGTTTTGGTGCTGTTGCCAAAATGCTCATTCCCTTTCAGCTCAAGTGATTTGAATGCCAAATTATTATCCTATTATATACCCTTTGAATGATCCACCTATAATATTAAAAGTASAGAAATTAAGTGGTTTGTGGCAGTGGTTTTTAATCTCCCTTGAGTTGTGGACTCTGAAAATACCACCTTCTTGTCAACAATTCAGTAGGATCTGGTGTTCCCACATACACTGACAGAGGACAAGGTGGAAGCTCCTGGTAACACGAGGGCACACTGCTGCTTCAGTTAACTTCTTGTCAAACAGGACAGTTGCCATATGGAGCAGTCACAGTTTATCCTTGACGTCTCTGGATCCGCTTGCTATTTTTTTTCCCAATAAGTTTTGGGTTCAAGCTGGTGGCTGGCTTTCTTCAGCGTGGCACAAGGCCTGTACTCTGGAAGCTTGGCCACCACAGTTTGAGCTATACCTGTTCAGGTGTACCTGACGTCTGGGACCTGGCTCTTGCTTAACATGTGGTAAGTGGGTGTTTGAACTGGTTTCTGCGTGGTGTGAAGAGGAGTCACATCAGGGAACTGTGCTCTTACTTTCAGTCAAGGGAGGAGCTGCTGCTGGAATGACTGGAGCTGCAGCCAGCAGCAGCAGTTGGGGGCCACCACTGCTTTTGGACCCCATGAAGGAGCATTTTCCTTCTCCATTGCCTGTCTTCTGTTTGTCCCTGTCCCTCCGAAAGCTCCCGTTTCAGCAGAATCTGATGGCAGGAGCAGCAGCGGTGGCCGGTCCCTGCTGGGAGCCATAGCTCCTGCCTCTCCTGCAGGGCCGCCGCGCCTGCTGCGTGTCCCGGGGCTGGGAGCAGGGACAGGCCTGTCCCCCGGCAGCAGGAACAGCTGCCGTCCCCAGCTCCCCGCATGGCCTGGGCTGCGGTGGGCACGGCCAGTGCCACAACCGGTGTGGCCGGGGCTGGGGACGGATGGGTCAGGGCTCATGGCTGTTGCAGGCTGCGGCTGCCATGGCAACGAGCTGCCGAGCATGGAAGAGGGGACAGGTAATGGAGTAGGGGGGGACAGGGAGCCCCTGGCGCCCGGGAGCCCCTGGAAAGCGGGGGCTGCTCCCAGCCCCGAGCACCCGCAGCCCTCAGCGCTGGCGGTGTTCGGGGTCCTCCCTGTGCCCTGGCACCAAGAGGGGAAGTTTCCTTCTCTGTCCCCTGGCTCAGGCCTGGAGGTTGGTGCACGGGGCAGGCCTGGGGGGCACCAGCTCCCCTCGGATCCTCTGGCTCCCACTGTGAGTTGCTGACGGAGCAAATAATCTGGAAAGCCRGAGGTTTGCAAGGCTTGTCCGGAGCCTTGTCTTGGCGAGAGGTGGCGCAGGAAAAGGAAATCTCTTCCACAGCGGCGAATCAGCGGCACCGCCAGCAGGAGGTTCCCGTTAACCCCCGGGAGCCCGGAGCAGCTCCCAGCCGGAGCACAGGGAGGCCCGGAGGCCTCCAATGGTGAGTGCAGCCTGCACGGGCTGCTCCGGGTGCTCCGGCTTTGGCTGCACGGGCGGGTGGCCGCGCATCGCCCCAGCGAGGGGCCTTCCCTTTGTAACGAGGCACATTGTCTTTCTCCGCAGGCTGTCAAGTCCAGGCGAGGTTTAAGAGGTGAGTGCCCTCACGCCGGGATCCGCTGGGGGAAGAGGGAGAGGGACGCGGGGTTTGCTGCAGCCCGGGCTCCGGAATCGCTTCAGGACCCTTGGCTTGGTRCTGCCTTGTGCTTGTTGTGTCGCTCCTGATCCAGTGCTGCTCCCCTGCACCCCAGACCCAGCAGATTTGCTTACCGAGGTCTAGTTTTAGGGATTTCCCTGAATCCGGTTCTGGTTTCCCCCCACCTGAGTACCTTGCTTGGAGGCCGCCAGCCTCCTGCAGCCCCTCGTACCGCAGCAGAACCCTTGGGTTGCCCATGGTGCTGCCACGGTCTGCTGCCCAGGGTGCTGCAGACCAAACCTGGCGCACAGCAGGTCTCAGAGGAGCAAGTCGGGCTGGCACAGGGGCTCCCTGGCCGCCAGCCCCAGCTCCTTCGCTCGGTCTCATTGCAGGCTCCATCGATGACGTGCTGGGCGACCTCCTCGGCTATGACGGTAAAAGACACCTTCCGTGCAGCATCCCTGCATCCGCAGTGCCCTGCCCTGCGGTGCCAGCCTGCAGGTCCTTCCTTCTGAACGAGCTCCTCTGGGCATGGGGCTTCCACGGTCATATCCCCTTGGGATGGACGGGACAAGCAGCCTCCTTCCTTTTGGCTCATTCAAAGTGAAACAGGTTCCCATAACCAGAGGGGACAAAGCAGGGAGCAGAGCACCCTTTCCATTGTCCAAAAGGTCGTTGAGCAGGTTGGGCATTGGGTTGGAGTGGTCAATGCAAGGTTCATCCAACAACGAGAAGCTGCTGGGGTCCATAAGGAGATGGCAAATCCCCCTTTGGAGCATTTAGGTCAGGAATATGTTCGTGACCAGCGTCTTAACCTCTCTCTGCTCAATTTCCAGATGAAACCCCAGCTAAACCTGCCAGAGCTTCCCAGGCGGCCGGGGGCAGCGGTGGCAGAGCCCGGGGCACCAGCTACCCAGCCAACAAGAAGTGAGTAGCTCCCAAACACGCCCCACTTGCTTGGGGAGCTGCAGGGGCTTCCCAAGCCCTTCTGCCCTGCGCCATCCTTGGCAAATCCTCTGTAAATCTCCTTTTTCATGGTTGTTTGCTTAAATATCACAGTCCCAGCCTGAGTGTCACTTTCCATGATGCTGTTCCCACATTGCCACGTGGGTGCGTGTCCCTGTGCTCACGGCTGCCCCAGTGTGGCTGTGTGATCCCCAGTGTCCCCTGCCTGGCCTGGCCCATCAGCCCTGGGTGAGCGCTGTCCCCAGGATGGCACACAGCCAAGTCCTGGCCAGGGCTGGCATCTCCCCATGCCTCGTAACGTGTTGGTGCGGCATTCCCAGTCCTGGCTCACACCACAGGTCCTTGCTGGAGGAGGATTTCTTCAGCAAACTCCCTGCCGAGGACATTGAAGCTGTGGAGGTGAGCTTGAATTTTGGGAGGGAGCCTGGGAGTTCCAACCACCTTAGCGGGCTCAAGAGATGGGACAGGGAAGCAGGAAGAAGGTGGCAGAAGGGTTTCTAGTTGCCCCGGGTGGGATGGAGCGAAGGCACGGAAGGTGCTATCAAACACATCCAAAGCCTGTCCATCCATCTGCCTGATCTCTCCCCATCCTGACACGCAGGAGTCTGATGTCTCAGACGCCGACCCGCAGGCTGTGCTGCAGACCCTGAAGGTAAGAGCATGTATCCACCACTGCAGCCATGCGAATTCGTGCCCATCAAGCACTATGAATGTGGGCAAGTGTTGGCAAGGAAGCGGCCCTGGGATGGTGACAGTGTCCCTCTGCTCCCATCTGTGTCCTGTTGCTTTCAAGGACATGGACGACATGGAAGCAGATCTCCTGGGAATATCAAAACCCCGTTCAGCGCTGGGAGAAATGACTGTGAAAGACCCTGAGAAGCGTGACCCTGCAGGAGGAACAGGAAATCCTGCAGGGAAGTTGCCAGCTCCTAAGAAAGGTGAGAAGGAGGTTCTGACTATGGACATGCATGAAACGCTTTCATTTGAGATAAGGAACAAAGAGGAGGCTTGCTCCCTAAAATCCTTTCCCTGATTCCTTTTGAGAGCTGTCACAGACAGAGTTATATTCAACCCCAAAGTGGTTGTATTTAAGGGTACCTGTCATCTGTGCTGCTCTTCTCCTTTTCTGCTTGGAAGGAGTCCCCTCCTGAGACCTGCAGCTCCTGGGGCCTCAGGGGACTTTGTGTCACAGCTAGTGGGTGGTGGGAGGATGGGGCAGCTCTGTCTCTGAGCACAGCCCTCTTTCTAGAGGATTCTGCGCCTGTGATGGAGAAGAAGCCACTCTCGCCTCCCCCTGCTCCCCGGCCCTACAAGAAATTTAACTTTGAAGGTAGGTTCCCATGCCAGGTCTACCCCAGACTTCTGGGGCAGCTGCAACTCTGACCTCGCCATTTGCCTCTCGCTGAGGGCTTGGGTGGTCAATGAGATACAGAGGCTTCCACCCCTGCATCACTAGTTCAAGTCCAATCCCATAGAAATGCATCTGTTGAGTGTACGAGGTTCAGAGACTCAAGAGCATCCATGGTTCATGGTGTTAGGAGTAGCAACCTCTAGTAAAGAGGGATTTGGGGAAAGTGTCAGTAGAGATACCGAGGTCAAAGCTAGTCTGGAGGCCTCATTGCAGCATGTGCCTGGCAGTGCCGAGAAGATGCAGTCTCAACTCGGCTGCCCCACAGAGCTTGGGCTCAAGAACAAGCACTGGGATTGGTTTCCCTCTCACTGTAGCTCTGAAGAAGGCACATTTGGTGCCCAGTATTTCCATGGGCACATGATGGGGTTAACTGCTTGGCTAAATGATTTGAGGTTTGGGGGATTTTTTGTTTGTCTTCTTAATTCTAATTTCTTTCCCCTATGGGGTCATTCCTAGATTTGGATGATCCTTTGGCAGGACTTTTATCTGATGAGGAACAAGATGCTCCCAAGAAGCCTACCCCATCCAGCACTGAAAACAGCTCCGTGAAAAAGCCAGATCTGAGCAAAGAGAAAGGTAAGAAGGGATATTCTGCATTCTGCTTGGGCTAAAAGAATAAGGAGCCTGAATTAGTTTGAGTCCAGCCTATTCAGCTGGATAGTCCCATCTCTTATTAACCAGTATGAATATCCATGAAGTCATTTTGTAACGGAGTTACTTGGGCAGCTCGCTCCCTGTTGGATGTTCCAAGTGTGCTGCAGGTTATGGAAGTGACCTTTCCTTCTGGGCAAGCTCCAGTCTTACCTTTGAGTCCACCCAGGCTGTTATGTGTGAGGCCTAAGGAGGACAGCTTTGTTGGGTCAGGGTTAGGGTGGCTAAGAGTGTCGCCAATCCCTGCCAAAGTGCAGCCTCTGGATTGGATCCAGCTGCTCTGTAGCTCTTATGAGCAGCAGGCTCCCCCGTCCCTGCAGCTGGGACACTGACAGGAAGGGCCACAGGTCTGCTGGTGCCCCAGCAAGTCCAGTCTGCTGCAGAGATGGACGCAAGCAGTGGCTGCTGGGTTGGGGCAAGGATTAAGGTGTCTTGAGGGCTTGCAGACTTGGGGAGGGCAGGATTTGGCCCATTGGGAACATGCAAGACTGCAACACTGCTGGAAGTTACCAGAGCTGGAAATGCCAGTGCGAGTGACACCAGCAATGTGCCAGCTCCCCAGAGGATCTGAGCACGAAGCAGCGCTGCTTCAAACTCATGGTGTGGACAGTGCTGGGGGAAAGGGCCGGCCGGGCTGCCACAGCCCCCCGTGAGCCCCCCTGAGGACGCTCGCTGCTGCGGCAGTGATCCCGGCTGCAGAGGCCCCGGCCCCGCAGCCCCGGCTCGCCGCGGGCCCCGCGCGCAGGAGGGAGGAGCTCAGCTTTGAGGACGACGGCGATGACCTGATGGATGCGCTGGGATTCGGTGACAGCCSGAAAGGAGACACGAGGCAGGAGAGGAAGGGAGACAAGTAAGTAGTTCCTGGGTTGCAAAACGATAGCAGGGACAAAGCAGTGGGTGGTCTGTGTGTGCAATAGACACAGAGGCTGGGAAGAGGATAGGGCATCCCAAAGAGCTTTGAAACTTCTTGAGCAGGTCCTGGTCCAAGACAGGAGCTGCTATGCACGGTGCTGTACGAATGCAAGGTAGAGAGATGGGGCCTTCCCTTGGGAGCTCAGTTAGCTGTGCTGCAGCCTCCCTGCACCTCATYGCCAGGGGCTGTGCTGCCTGGTTTTCTTAGCACCTGGCATGCTAGAAACAGGGCCTCAGCCCACCCAACAACCCAAGAAGTGACAAGAGGAGCCTCATTTGGCCTTGGAGAACAGGATGGCCCTGGTAGGGCTGTGTATTGTCAACCCACCCTGGACTGTGTCCTCGTAGGGATGAGGTCCGTCCAGCCCGCTCCAAGCTGGACGAGTTACTGGGACGGGGCTCCGCAGCCAAAGCCTTGGAACGGCCAGGCCCAGCAGAGCGCAGGGAGTTCAAGCTGGATGCAAAATACCAAAAGCAGCCAGGTGAGCCCAGCCGGGGATGCGAGAGGGCCCACAGAGGTGCCAGCGTGGGCACTGTGACGTTGGTGGGACCGCAGGGCTGGCAAGAGGAGGAGGAGGGCGAGGGCCGGTGTCTTTGCAGCGTGCTGATTTGAGACTGCGTGTCTGAGCAGAGAAGGATGAGCCAGAGGATGAGGAGGATTTCGTCTTCGGTGCATACCAGCCCTCGGTGGCCTCAGCACCAGAGGGGAGGCCACCACAGCRGCAGCCGGCGAGGTGAGTCTGTCTGTCCCTCCAGCTGCACATTCCCAAGCTGGGTGTCCCCTCTCAGGCATGTTCATGACTCTCTCTCTGCAGCAGGTTTTCATCWGAGGGCAGCCATGAATCGAAGGTGGATGCCCCCACCAACCCGCCTCCTGCAGCTGGCAGGAGCCCCACACGGGGCAGCAGGGCTGGCGGCGACTGGCTGGGCCTGAAAGATGAGGATTTTCTGGACTCAGACCCGCCATCTCCAGAGCAGACCTGTGCCGTGGGGAGCTGCCCRAACACAGCCGGGCAACCCAACTCTGCCGGGCAACTCCCAGCCACGGAGCAGCCCGCGGGCAAAGCCAACCTGCCGGAGGAGGAGAACTGGCTGAGCGCTGCCTTGGCACGCAAGAGAGCCCAAGCACAGGTGAAGGAGAGAGGGACTGAGCCCTTGGAGACCCCAGGCCAAGGGCTGGATCCCCCCTCAGCCACCAGGTAAAGACCCACTGACAGCTGCTCTCATTCACTCTGCAGATGTCTGCTGAGGATCCCACAGGAATTAATTTTAAGCATTATTTTATCTCACATTGGGGCAAGAACACAAGACTTTGTGCCAGCTGATCCAGCCTGGAGTCCTTCACCCCTCTGGGCCCGCATCCTAGCCAGCAATGACAACATTAGCTTGACACCTCTGTAGCAGGGAGGAAGGGCAGCTTTGAAACACCAGCCATTTGGACTGTCTCTTCCCTTTCTGMTCAGGATGGGAAAGCCAAGGGAATGCCTGGGGCAGGGAGATCACATGCAGGACACACRGGGAAACATTTCCCCATGTTGTGACACTGCTGTGCCTCTTTCACCCATGTCTTTGCCCAYGCAGGCACCCCGTCCCCCAGCCCAGCATCCCAGAAAAGACATCAGCTCTTCCAGCAGAGACCAGAAAGGAGGATCCCTCCAGAAGTGCCAGCGTCCTGGGTGCGTTTCACATGGACAATGGGTTTGGGCAGCAATAGCCAGAGGATTCCCTCAAGGAAACCAGCAGGGTGGCCCTTGGCCAAGCGAAGACTGCCCAGGCTTTGGCCAGTTCCCACCGCTGTGTCTGAATCATGGGTATGTCAACTTTCCAGCTTCTGCATCCTTATTCCCGGGAGAGCAGGAGACACCAGGRCCTGTCACGCTCACTCAGGTAGGTCTGTTGGGGCCATGCTCCCTGGGAGAGGTGCAGGACCACGAGCATCACCTGAGAAGCATTTTTATAATGCCCTGGGCGTATTTATATATTATTATTAAAAAGGCATCAGGGGCTCCMGTTTATAAGCAACTTTTCCTTCAATACTGGCATGAAGATGCCCTAAGATTGTTTCTAGGGAATTGAAGGGGAATCAAAGACTTGAAAAGAGAAGACAGCACGTGCTTGGTCCTTGAAGCCTCCATTTCTAGCCTAGCTGGGCCTCCTTGCAGTGGACTCATTTAGGACCCACTGGGAGAAGGTTGGAGAAGGGCAGAAGAGAGACCACAGCAGTTGGGGATGTTACCCTGGAAGAAGGAGACTTCTTGGAGAGGTAGGCTCAGTCCAAAGCCTGAGCACATCCTTGCACCTCCACAGGCTACTGTTCCCCGGACACATGTGCCAGCAACAGCACAGCTGCAGGTGAGGGACACRTGCTTCCATAGGGTTTGCTGGCCATGCTGCTGGTCCTGAGCACCTCGGTCCTCTCCCTCCCACAGACCGAGCCGCTGACCTTGGGCTTGTTGCAGGGGAAGGGGCCGGGGGCTCCTGCAGTCCAGCTCCCTGAGGACACGATGGGCTGTCAGGCAGCGCTGCTCAGTGCCCAGGCCCGCGTAGCAGAGCTGGAGAGCCAGGTGAGACCCATTGCAGGGGCCTGGATAGGGCACCCAGTGGGAGGAGAGGAGCCATTTCTGCTCCAAAGGGTATCAGAGTGACAGGGGAGCGGGGAAGAACCTCCTCAGCAGGAGGTACCTGGGGCTGCTGAGTCCTGCTTTGGAAGCTCTGTTCCCATGCCAGACTGGATGGGAGGACATGTGTTCCCAGCGCAGCACAAGGAGCTTCCCCCCTGGGTGTCCCGCAGGTCCGGGCACTGGAACTGGAGCGGATGCAGCAGAAACTGTTGCTGGAGAGTCTCCAGCAGCGACACCAGGAGGACTTGGATCTCCTTGAGAGCGCACACAAGTATGGCTCCTTTTCCCTCCTGTGCTGAGTCCTTGCCTACCACCCTGCCGGTGCTCCCTGGGGTGGGAGCATAGGGGAGAGATCCCCAGATCCATCCCTGCGGCAGGCAGGCATGTAGCCACATTGCTGCTGGTAAAGAGCAGTCCTGGGGAGAGCTGATGTGWGGGTCTGCTCTCACCCAAGCTGTCACACATGTGGCAGAGATGACAGACAAGTCCTACTGCCAGCAAGCCTCAAACCAGGGCACCTCATAGGTGGCAGCATGAGAAACGAGGGCTCAGATTGCAGACAGCCGGTTGCCCCACGCCTCCGTTTCCCCATGCCCACAACAGCACACGCTGGCACCCCAAAGTCCTGGGTGCAACTGGGACAGGGAGCAGCAGGTTGGGAGTCCAGGTGGGAGCCCCACGAAACCCACGCAGCCGCTCATGGGTTTCACAGGAGCCGGGTGAAGGTGGTGGAGGAGACGTGCGGGCAGCAGGCAGAGCGGCTGCGGCAGGAGAAGGAGCAGCTGGCGGCGCAGCTGGCGGCGCAGAGCCAGGCGGCGGAGCGGGCGCGGGCAGAGCTGCTGGCGCGGCACCAGCAGCAGCTGCTGGCCCTGGAGCAGCAGAGCGCRCAGGAGCTGCAGCGCCTGCGGGAGCTGCAGAGGTGAGCGCCGCGCGAGGCCACCATCACGGCACCCACCTGGGGCCCGGGCAGTGGCTTGGGCACCCTGGGAAAGGAAAGATGAAAGGAACTTCCCCTGGGTCCCACAGGACATCCATCCAGGAGATGCGCAAAGACCATGAGGAGCAGCTCCAGCGGCTGAAGAGGCTGAAGGATCAGGAGATTGACGCAGTGACCAGTGCCACTTCGCACACCAGGTATCAGTGGCCTGTGCAGTCCCCCCACATGGGTTCCCAGACACTGCATTCCCTGTCCCACAGGGAAGTGCCCCAGACCTCAGAGTCCTTGCCCTCTTCCACTGTTTGCTGCCCCTTGCRCTCACAGATTTCACAGGAGAGAGGAGGGAAACTGCACACGTGTCCCTGAATCCAGGACTAATGTCCTCAACACCAAACTGACTCCAACCTGTCAGTGCTCCCCTTAGGAGCAGTAACATCTTGTTTCTTGCAACATGGAAAGACTCAGAGCAGCGGGACAAAGCGCATTCCCCACAAGTGGCCTCTCTGCAGGTCTCTGAACGGTGTCATCGAGCAGATGGAGAAGTTTTCCAGCGACCTGCACGACCTCTCACACCGTGTGGAGGCCACGCACCACAGCACCTCCCAGGAGCTGGCCATGGGGGCCCAGCAGCGCGACAGGCAACTCAAGGGTAGGTCTGCCTGGTGCCAAAGAGGTCCTGAAGGCACCTGGGGTCGGGAAGGCATCAGCATTAGGGATGGTGCCCCCCATGGTAGGTTGATTAGGGAGCCCAGGATGGCTAAGTCCTGGCTCCATGAGACACCTGGGGGTGCTCCCTTTACAGAACGATGTCCTGCAGATGTGCAGCAGGCAATGAATGCAAAAACATACAGATTTTCCATGAACATGTTATGGGCAGAGAAGTTCTTCCCTTGGCATCACAGAGGGTGGCAGTAATTCACGGCACATGTGGGGAAGGTTGGGATGGGATGGGATGGGATGGGATGGGATGGGATGGGATGGGATGGGATGGGATGGGATGGATGTCCTGCAGCTCGCATCAGCCGACAGATCCCAGCCCTTCTCTCCCTGCAGTGCTCCAGGACAGGCTGCTGCAGCAGCAGAGGGACATGGAGGACGAGCGAGGCCGACTCCAGGAGGTTATTGCTAAAATGGAGGCGAGGCTGGGCGAGCAGACTCGGTTGCTGGAGCAGGTGAGCCCACCTGGTACCTCTGCCTGTGCTGGCCCTATGACCACTCTAGGACCATCCTGCACACAGGCAAGCTTGRGCAGGCTGAGGAGCCCAGCTCTGACCTGGAGTTATGTCCATGTCCCCTCTGTCTCCSGGCCCAGGAGAGGTGGAGGGCAACAGCCGAGCAGTCCAAGGTGGAATCGCTGCAGCGCTCACTGGAAGAGCAGCGGAGAGTCATGACCCAGCAGCTCTCCATGGAGCGGACAGAGATGGAGAGAGCCAAGGTGAGACATGGACATCTCCACACGCTTCTGAGATGTCTCAAGGGTCCAAGCAGGGCCACACTTGGGGCATGGTGGAGGAAAGGGCTAGAACATCCCTCCTCTCTGCTCTATTCTCTACTCCTCAACCCCACGCTCAGTCACTTGGTGAAGTGACCAGTCGTGATCAGACCAACCATGAGGCACATGCGTGCAAAAGGCTGTCGTGTATGTGCATGGTACAGGCTGGCCAAGGAGCCTGACTTCCCCATGTAGACCTCATGTCTGGTGCCACATCCTGACCAGCCCATAGACATTTTATGGGATTCAGTGGCAGAGATGGGTTAGAGGAGGAAATGATGTGACTGTGGGGCTCAGGGCTCTCACTCTCTCCTGCATCCCTCTCCCAGAGCGCGTTGCTGGAGGAGCAGAAGTCGGTGATGCAGAAGTGCTCGGAGGAACGCCGCAAGCTGGCGGCCGAGTGGGCCGAGTTCCACACGCAGCAGCAGCTGAGCAAGGAGCGGCTGGAGCGCGACATGGACCTGGCCCTGCAGCGGGACTCCCAGAGAGAGGGCACCATCCTGAGCCTCGCCAAGGTACCGCGGCAGAGCCCCTGTCCACAGMACCCGGTACCGCTGGGCTCCCTCGTGGGTCCTGTTGCAGAAAAGCAGGGAGAGAGTGAGCTCTGGATTCAGAGGTTTAGAACAGAGACATCTCATGGGGTCAGTGGCAAGAAACTGGCAGCTCCCTCAGCCTGTTTATGCATTGGTCTTCTAGCATCAGTCACATCTGTGTCTGCCCCTTTGGTTGGGAAGAGTTTGAGCAGCCAGACCAGGCACAGCCACCTCCATGAATGCCCAAAGGCTGGTAGCCAGCAAGGCGATGGGGACACTGTGGCAATAGCTGGTGGCTTTGCTCTGCTCCCCAGAGCCGCCTGCCAGCTCAGTGGGGACAGATCCCTCCCACCACCAGGGAAGACATGGGATAGCAGCAGGACAGGCAACATCTCTCATGCTGCTGCTCRCCCTAGGAGCAGGCAGAGCTGAAGATCCGGGCCGGTGGGTTGAAGGTCAAGGAGGAGCAGCTGGCGAGGGACAGGGAGCTGCTGGAGCAGGCCTGGCAGGAGCTGCGGCTGGAGAAGGAGAAGGTGAATCGGGCTGCGCTGCGCGTCCGGCAGCGGGTGGAGGAGATCGACACCATGAGCAAGGTAAGCGGGAGCCTGCTGGCCGCACATCTGTGCCCAGGACAGACCTGATTTAAACTCCACCACCTCAGGATGGATGTGAAACCCCAGCTTTGCTGCTGGTTTGAGTGTCCCTATGGGCCAATGTGGCCATTCCCATCTGTCCCAGGTGACAATGACACCTCCACATCAGGGAGCTCTGATCCCTGCTGACTCTGAGGTGCCCAACAAGGTGATGATTGTGCCAACAGCCACATGACCCTCATCCCCTGTAGAAACTTGATGCTTTTGCAGCAGCGCATGGGAACTGACCCTCTGTGGGCAGCTCTTGCTGGGATGGCACCAGCAGAGAGAACATGGGAAAGTGCAAGAAGGGGTTAAGGAGCGTGTGGAGCAGCCCTAGCAGCTGCCCCGGGGCAGCGGGGGTCTCTCCCGCGCTCCTCTCCAGCGCCTTTGCCTTGCAGCTCTCGGCCCAGAAGTGCGAGGAAGGGGAGCAAGCGCTGCGGGAGGCCCGCAGGGTAGAGTCTGAGCACCAGGCTCGACTGCAGCTCCTGCAGCAGCAGCTGGAGCAGCTGAAGCAGCAGGAGCAGCGTCTGCACCAGGCAAAGCCCCTTCACCTTSCCCTCAGCCTCGGGCTGCTGTGCCAAGGACCTGGACCTTTTCCAAAGGCCTCTCTCTCCCTTTCTCCCCGGGCAGGAGCGGCTGAGCATGGCTCTGCAGAGGAGCCAGCTGCAGCAGCTTCGCGAGGAGCTGCCCAACAACCCCACGCTGCTGCTGGCCACGGCCCAGGACGTCAGTGTCCCTGCCACGGGCCTCTCCAGCACACTGTGTAAGGGCTCCTGCATGCTGCTGGTGGCCATGGGGAACCCATGCTCATGTTTCACTCCTCATGAAGGTTGGGACATTTCTGAGGGCTGTTTTGGTTGCCCCATATATAAACCTCAGGGCTGGGCTGGCCTTGGCCTCCCCATACTCTCAAGGGGTGTGCAGTTGAGCTCTCTGAGCCAGGGCAGTGTCRGGATGGGGCACAGGGTGCTGGGAGGGAAGAGGTGGGTAGATTAAAGCCTGGTTTTGGGGGGAAGTTGGGAAGGATCCCACTGCAGGAGCACACAGCCAACAAAACAAGGATGCTCCAGTGTGTCCGTCTATATGACTCCTGGTGGCAGYGTTGGTGCATGCTCAAGCTCTCGTTCCAGGCTTTCCAGCTCCCATCACAGCGTTCCCTAGGTGCAGCCCAGGTGCTAGCAGGGACAGCCTGAGCAGGGCAGGCCCGTCGGAGCTCCACGCCAAGCTGCTGCTGCTGAAGCACAGGGCTCAACAGGTGAGCGCCAGGGGGACTGGGCTGGAGCAGGTCTCACAGCAGCCTGAGGGAGCAACCGCATGAAGCCAAATTCYGCCCTGACAGAGCATGGGGTGGGGAGGACTCAGAGCAGGCAACAGCTCCTTCCTCCGCTATAGCCAGAGGAGCGGCACCAGAAGCAAGGACCATTGGCTTCCTTCTTCACCACTGCTCTGTGTCCCTGCTGGGCCCTCTCCCAGGCAAGGAGGTTGKTTGAGGCTTCCTCCATGGGTCTCACTGAAAGCAGGAGCTAACGGGCTTTRAGGGGGAGCCCCTAGGTGAGCTCCCTGGTGGAGCAGCTCCCTGCGTGCTGTGTGAGGGAGGGTTTGGGATACTTCTCTTGCCCATGAGTGACAACCCCAGCCCAGCATCCCATGTGCCCTGTGGCATCCTTCTCATCCTGCCTCCCCGCTCCTCAGGATCGTGATTTCTTGGAAGACGAGCAGTTCTTCCTGGAGACCCTGAAGAAGGCGTCCTACAACACTTCATCTCTGCTGGCCTGAGAGGAAGTCRTCCCCACACCCTCCCCGAGGGACCTGCTGCTGTGCCATACTAGTGGGACAAAAGCAAAACAAACTAAAAAACAGTAAATTAAAAAAAAAAAATCCAGTTCTCAGCTGAGACACTTCTGTTCTTTTACAAAAAGCCTCAAGCAGTGATGGTGGAGAGCATCCCCACCAGCAACCTCTGCGGTCTCCACTGTTGCCTCTTCTCCCCMTGCGGGAGCGAGGATTCTGCTTTTGGGGGGCTGCTGCCTTATGGAGGGGGGGTTGGAGCCCCCCCGGCTCCGAGCTTCCCAGTTGCTGCTCGTGCCCTTGGGAAGCCAAAGCTGGAGGAGCTCCCGGCCCCGAGCGCCCTGAAGAGCCAGGGAACGACGTCTGCCGGGCGCTTGCTCTCAGGCCTCGCGCCCCGTCCCTGCTCCCGGTGTGCGGCCTCCCGCCTGCTTCCAGTGGGATCTCGCATGGGGGTGGMGGAGCCACCGCCGGTTGTTCCCAGGGAACGTGCAACGGGGCAAGGGCGGGTAGGGAAACASCCGCCATGGCCGCCCTTCTTCCCGGGCCATGGGGCCTTTCCGGSGGGCACTGCTGCGGACAGCCCCTGTCGCCGTGGCAACGGGGGCCTTCCCCGGCAGCGCCCTCCCGCGCAGCAGCTGTCGCTATAGCAACGGGGTCCTTCCTCCGGGGTTGGCGCACGCGATGGCGGCGCCCATGCTGAGCGCGGCGCTGTACGGCGTACGGAGCGGGCGGCCCTTCGGCACCGCCGGTGAGACGCGGGCCGCGCGGGGGGGGGGCGGCCGCGGGCCGCGGGGGAGCCGGGGGTGGGGGCGGACACCCCGGTCCCGTCTCGCCGCGTCTCTCACCCCGGCGCCGCTGCCAGCCGCGCGGTGCCGGCGCGCCGCCCCGCTCGGGCCCATGCCCAACGAGGACCTGGAGGGCCGCGACGTGGAGGCGCTGCCCAAGTACCGCAGCTTCAGCCGCTACTTCAGGCTGGCCGAGGCGGAGAGCAGCAAGCCGCGCTGGTGGAAGACGTACCGGCAGTACACGGTCCCCGCGCCAGGTACGTGCGGTGGAGCCCCGCTTCCCGCGCCCTTCCTGGAGACCCGGGAAGGTCGCTCTGGTTGTGGATGGAGCCCTGCTTCCCCAAAGAGGCTCTAAGCCTTTGGCAGGGTTCGGGGGGTTGGATGGTTTGAGCTCGATATCATTCACCCCCCTGGTTTTTCATCTCTCTGTGAAGAGCCCAAGATTGACATCAGCCTGCCGCGTGAGAAACCGCTGCGGATGGAGAAAYTCAAGGAAAGAAAAAGGATCCTGCGGCAGAACCACCAGGATGCCGAGATGGAGAGAGCGGCGCGTCTCCGAACAGGTCCGTGCGCCATCTCCTCTGCGCCGGGCACGCGCTCCCCCGCAGTCCCTCTGTACCTCCGTTTCCTTTGCAGAGCTCATCCCTCTGGATGAAGTCAGAGCTGAGTGGGAGAAGACCTGTGGCCCGTTCCACAAGCAGCGCGTGGCAGAGCACTACGGGATATTTCGGGATTTGTTCAAGGAGGCCACATTCACCCCCAGCGTTACTCTGAGGGTGGGATACAACCAGGAAGATGAGGATGTGGTGCCAGTCTATCATGGGAACATGGTGACTCCATCAGAGGTATGTGGGAAGAGCTCGGAACATCCCCAGGGCTGTGAAAAAGCACTTTTTGCCCTGATTGCCACTGTTCCTCCTGGGAAATTTCTTTTACAAGAGTAATTCCTCTGTGAACAAACACATATATGTTCTTTAGGCATGATACGGGTAGGACTTTCTAACGAATTTGCTGTCTGTTGACAAGCTGGTGTTTTTAATGCTCCCCAAAGTCTTCGGGTGGAGCTGGGTAACTGTGGCATGGCTGTGTCTGCTCTGTGTGGCCCCTTGGCTGTGCCCGTGACCGCTTCGCCGCCTTTGCCTTTGCAGTGGTGACTTGGTCTTGATGGAAACTGTTGTCCAAGCAATTCATGTTCTCTTTATATTTACCATTTAGGCTTCCAGTCCCCCTGAAGTGTCATATGAAGCAGATAAAGACTCCTTGTGGACTCTGTTACTCACAAATCCAGGTGATCAGTTTGTTCTCTAAGGACTATATTTAAACCGGGCAGTTTCAGCCTGCGTTTGGACAGGAAGCTCTTGTTTCTTTCAGCTGCACAGTTAGAGAAGTTGTGATACCTGCTACATAGGGCCTGCCACCTCTGCTGTAGGTCCAGAGAACAGCTTCAGAGATTGCGTTAAGGGAGCTAAAATTTCTTTGCCTTGGGAGAAAGTTGTGTCTTCCAAGAGTGCTTCTGTGCCCCCGTGTCACTTGTTAGATGATGAGTGGATGTTTGCAAAAACTGCTGAGTTTTACCTCAGTGATTTACACCTGCAGGAAAGATATTAATTTCCCCGAGTCTCTGGAAATACAATGATATTTTGCCCAATTTGCTGCTGAGAAATGGGCCAGTGACAGCACAGGACCCATGTCGTAGCACAAGACCTATGTCACTGCACGGGGGAAGCAGTTCCCTGGCTCTGTCTTGTGTTTACTGCCAAACTCTTCCTTACCAAGCACGACTTGCCTGTTTTCATGTRCCCTCTCCCTTTGCAGACTCTCCGGGAGGTAGGTTAGCAATCCAGGAAACCAAGTTATGCTGAAATAAAGCAACTGTGACCCAATGTCATCCAGAAAGTTCTCATGATTTGGGGATTACATCTGTAGTTCTTGACTCCTCATTTTGAGCTTAGCTCTATAAGGATGAGTTTATTTTTCTATTTCAAGAAAAATGGTGGCAGGTTTCAAAGTGCTCTCTCTGTTCCAAGGGGATATTTCTGTTCTTGCTTTGAGGGTGATGCAAATACTGCATTGTCCCTAAGGCTCCCTTCTCTGTTGTTTGCACTTGCAGATGGACATTTAAGAGACACCGACTCAGAGTACCTCCACTGGCTGGTGTGAGTATTGCTCATCRGAGCTCTGTGCTGCTTGGCTCAGAGAAAACCCGGGCTGAGAGCGTGGAAACTCTTCCAACACTGCTTGGGAACGGATGTGTTGCCAAGATGATTCCTTCTGCTCTCTCGCCTCAGACTCGTTGCATCCCTGTGTTCTGGGTCCTGATAAAAATGTAGTAGTTCCAAGTGCTGTTGCTCTTCTACATTCAGTTCACTGGATGTGATTTCTTCCAGTAAAATTAGCCTCTACTCTCAGCATATTTCTTAAACGGGGAAAATAGTGCAGAGCCYAGTGCAAAGTGACTGGCAATCCTCTGTGAAACTTGTGATCCTAAGCKGGGGAAATGAATGGCTACGTAATGATGGCTAGTTAGGGAAATGAACTTCTTTCTGCTCAGGACAAACATCCCAGGCAATGACATCAAGTCGGGAAAGGAGATTTGCCATTACCTGCCCCCTTTCCCTGCCAGAGGAACCGGTTACCATCGCTTCATCTTCCTCCTCTTCAAGCAAGACTGCCCGATAGATTTCAGTGAGGATGTTCGACCAGTGCCGTGGTAATTCAGGCTTTCACTAGGACATTTCACCCTTACTTTGGATTAAAAGTTAATGCTAGTTGTTATTGTGTGCTTGTTGCTGCTGCAGCAGAGTGCTTCCTTTCAGCTTGCAGATTTGTTAGGGCTTTTCAGATTGCGTGTTGTCTGAAGCCAGAATCCCAGCCCTGCAAGCCCCATAAGAGTGTCATTGCCGTAAAGCAGGCTTTTAAGAAAGTGATTTGCCCTGCCAAGGGCAGATGTATAGARCTGAAGAACCAGAGAGATTTCTCCTCATTCTGTTTGTAAACTCTGGAATGATGTGGGGAAGTAGCATAACAGGATGCTGCAGGAAAGGAGGTTCACCTTAGCTCTTGTGCTTGTGTCCTGCTTGCAGCTACAGTCTCAAGATGAGAACCTTCAAGACGTTTGACTTCTACGAGAAGTATCAGGACCACATGACCGCGGCAGGGCTGGCGTTTTTCCAGTGTCAGTGGGACTGTTCYGTTACCCAGATCTTTCATCAGCTTCTCAGTAAGAAATGCTCAGCGCYGGGGTGCTGAAAGGGGCCTGTTTGTGAGCTGGGACGTAGCTCCTGGGCATCAAGTGCACAATCAGTGAAAGAACCATTGGTGCAGGCTCTTCATTGATCCTGGCTGCCACTGGGGCACCTAGACCCCTTATAGCAAAAACTAAGGATTTATTGAGTCGTCCTTCTCCATTCTAACAGCTGTTTGAGGTTAACAGCTGTTAACAACCTCTAAAGGCCATTCTGAATGAACATTTTAAAAATAGTAACAAGGGAGCCCTCACTGGGAAGTGCTTAACCAGCCCTGATCTCGTGCACTGGCTTGGATGCATGTGGCAGCCCCTGAGAGTGGAGGAAGGGGGCCAGGGTTGGTATCAAAGCCGCTAACATTCTCCCTGCCCACTTTACAGATATGAAGGAGCCGGTGTTTGAGTTTGTGCGGCCGCCCGTGTACCATCCTCCGCAGCAGAAGTTCCCACGGCGGCAGATTCTGAGGTACCTGGACAGGTACCGAGATACCAAGGAACCCACCTACGGCATTTACTAGGGCCTGGCCTCCCCTCGCCGTGCCCCGAGGCACCCGAGGACACAGGCCCAGAACGTGGGACTGGCGGCTTCTCCCTGCGTTTGCAGAACTGGTGTCAGGAGCAGTCTGCACCTGCAGAGAAAGACACCTAAAKACACCTGGAGCTCTCTGGCTCGAGGTTCTGTTTTGCTGTCACTACTAGGAAGCAACTGAGAGCAACAGGCGTTGCAGTGCTGGTAATTGTGTGGTCATAAGGCTACTTAAGAGCCTGTTAATGTTTGAGAACAAATCTATGTGTGGGCTGAAATCTTGCTACTGTGCCAGAGCTGGTRAATAAGGGCGCTAGGGTAGAGCAGCAGAGATGCTCTGCCGTGTTTCTCTGAAGGTTCAGAGCGCTGGTTTTGTCCGTTTTACAGTGCAAGTGGAGCTAGCCTGACCCTGTGTCTTCTCTTCCACGTGCTGCAGTTCAAGACTGTGTTGGCTCTTTTTTTGTACAGTCCTCTTAAAAACCTGAGTCTGATTAAACACCTTGTGAACAACACTGGAGGTACTGCCTTGTCTTCACTGGTGTCCCAGCCAGCGGTGGGGTAGACCTGGGGAGTTCAGTGGGCTGCACCAGAGAAATGGAGCCCTTCCCCAAGGGCTTGAATCTCCTTCAYCACCTCGATGGCACAGGGAGAGAAGAGCACAGCTAAGTGTATGCTTAGACTATGCAAGAGTCTGCACAAAGGGAGCTTTGATGCTGCTCTTCTCCCAACAACACGTGCACCCCAGTTTTCATCCCTTCCCTTCCTGAACAGCCCTAAGGCAGATCTGTGGAGCAGAGACAGTGGTGGCCTGGCAGCCTTCTGCTATCCCGTACCCAGAGGGTGAAGATGATGCTTCCTGTTCTGCAGGGCACGTAGTCCAACCACAGTTCATACATTTTAAATAAATCCCCAGATACCARCATGTTCCTGCCACTGCAGTTGCCTGTTCGTAACTGCTTCCCGGCAACCTTATCCAAGGTTCCTCAATTCCTAGGGAAACAAGGTACCACGGTGAGCAATGCCCACCTGCTGATGTTGCCCAGGGCCATTACTAGCTAGGTAATGTGCTACTTCATACTCTCTCTTTTAATATTTGATCAGAATTTGCAGGTTTTGACAAGAGAAGTATTTTGAGGGCTGCTGCTTGCCTTGGCTGAAGTTGTGTTGCGACATGCAGTGAGTTGTGACAGATCCCAGCTCGCCCTCCCAAGATCAGGAGTGGTCCAGGCTTGTGACTTGGAGCTTGTCCCTGATAACAGGAGCTCCTCTGATCTCCTACTACTCTGACCACAAGTGCAGACCAGCTGATGAGTAGCGTGTGTGTACAACAGTAGTATGTCCACAAGGGTCTGCAGATAAGGTTTGGACTGGAAAGTTGATAGTGCTTCTCCCTGAAACTGAACTGGGTAAATAACAATATAAATTCCATGTGGGCACTTCCAGGCAAAAGACTCCACCAGCCATCTGAGCCAGGGCTGATGGCCAAGGTGAGGCCTTCCCTGCATCTTGGGTTGGAGATTGACTGATGGTGTGGAAAGTGCATGTAGATATAGTGACAACGGTGTCTGTCTCTCTTGAGCTTGGTTAGCGAGAAATAACCTGTTGGCTGCCCTGAGTGGCACATGCCAACTGCAGGAGCTGTTGTGTAAGACGGAAAGGTGCAAGGGACCTGGCACCTTGTAAGATGCAAAGGTGGAGGGGACACAGTCAGAATGTCCAGCTGGTGGCATGTGTGACGGCCTGTCAGTGCAGAGGGAAGCAGCAGGTGTCTGCAGCAGTGGCGGGTGTCCCTGCTGCCTGCTTCTGGGCTGGCAGAGTCGGACTGAGGGCTCTACCACGGACAACTGTCCTTGAGGTGCCCAGGGATTGCAGTGCACATCCCTGCGCCTGGGGCAACAACTGCTGAGGACCCAGGAGTCCCTGCCAAGGGCAAGAGGGGAAACCAGACGCTGCGAAACACCCCTCTCCATGCCAATGTGCACAAAACACAAACACTTCCGTGCCGCGGGCGAGCGAGGCTCAGCGGCGGCGCAGCCGAACCGCAAGTGGCACCTGCCGGGTGTCTCTTTAAGAGCGCCTGGCTCTGTGCCTTGACCCGCCTCTGGGCTCTGTCCTCCCTTCCTCCTTTCCCCATCCCTTCCTCCTCTCCCTGGCTGGGTTTCTCTTTCTGCATCCGGTTCCGGCATAGCGGCAGGGCGCCATGGCGTCGCTGTCCTCCCAGAACCTGGAGGAGAAGCTGGCGTGCTCCATCTGCCTGGAGCTCTTCTCCAACGCGGTGACCTTGCCCTGCGGCCACACCTTCTGCCACCRATGCATCAGCGACCACTGGGACAAGCAGGAGGCCTGCGGGGCCGAGAAGGGCTACAGCTGCCCCGACTGCCGCCGGCACTTCRAGCGGCGCCTGGAGCTGCAGAAGAACGTGACGCTGTGCAGCGTGGTGGAGCTGGCGCAGGCGGGCGCCGAGGGGCTCGAGGCCGCGGGCGCCCAGGGGCGCGAGGCGGCGCATGGCGGCCTGTGCCCGCGGCACGGGCGCCCGCTGGAGCTCTACTGCGAGGACGAGCAGCGCTGCATCTGCTGCGCGTGCACCGTGGGGCAGTGCCAGCGGCACCGGCGCGTGCTCTTCGAGGAGGCGCACGCTAACAAGCAGGTGGGGAGCCCCCCCGGGCACCCCCGTGTGCGGCTGGGGGGTCCCTGTTGAAGTAGTAAGGGCGGGGGCAAAGGGAACACGGGGGCGCTCCCACGGGAGCCCTCTCAGCTGGTGGAGCCCTCACAGGCTCTGTCACCAAGACTTGCACAAAACCAGCAGTGCTGAGGTAAAAAATGACGCTGTGCCTCTTCACAAGCCCAGATCTCAGGGAAACAGCTAAAACATGAGGAGATCCAGCCCCATGCCTCGTTCCTCCCTGAGGCCGCCCGCTGCCTCCGTGCCCCCACAGGGCGCCGCGCGGGGTGACCCGCGGCCCTCGCTGCCGCACGCTGCTCGTGCCCCCTTTGCAGGCCCTTCTGAGGGAAGCCCTGGAGAAAGCCCGTCAGGAGGCAGAGAGGATCGAGCAGGCCATGCAGGAGCTGGAGGAGCAAACGCGCAGCATCAAGGTAGCGGCACAGGCCGACGCGGCGCCCGGGCGAGGCTCGGATGGAGCCACATCTCGCGTGTCTCCCCCACGCAGGACTCCTCCGAGACGCTGAAGTCGGTGGTTGTGAACAAATTTGGCTGCCTGGAGAAAGCCCTGGAGGACTGCCAGCGGCAGACGGTGGCCAGGATCGAGCAAGAGCRGGCAGCGGCGCTGGGGCAAGCGGAGGAGAACTGGAACCACCTGAAGGACTGCCTGGATGCCCTCAACCACCACAAGCAGAAGTCAGAGGACCTGCTGGCCTGCACCGACAAACGGACCTTCCTTGAGGTATGGCCCTGGCCATGRTGTCCCTTATTGTCCTGCTCCATCCCCTTTATTGGTGCCTGGGCATTCCCAGCTCTGTTCCCTCCTGGAGAGGAGGAACAGGGCCAACCCCTTGGAGCTGCTGATCCTCCCAGGTCCAGCTGCATGGGTGTCTGTCCATCGCTCCACAGGAGTTTCCCCTGCTCCCTTCTCCAGAGAGCCCTGCGGCAATGCCTCCCGTGGAGTTCAACGTGGGCATGGTAGAGCCCCTYGCTGAGATCCTCACGGACATCTCCAAGCTCTTGCTAGAAAACTTRCCCAGCTCTGTGGCCCCTGCTGACCCTGTGGCCCCCAAAGCTGCTGACCCTGTAGCCCCAGGTAAGCCCCCTGCACACAGGTCTTCACGCCCCTCTGGACTACAGTCTTTCTCCAGCCAGTTACATTGATGGGGACACAGCTACTGGACATGAATTGGGAGAGGGACATTTGTCTGCTTTCCAGCAGGCAAGTATCAATGGGATAACACGTGCTATGTGGCTTCCCTGTGCACCCATGTCCTTAGTGGCTTGGCCAAACCACAGTGATACCAGCCTGCCCCAGGCTTGGATGTGAAGGATTTCCTCCTCCTCCTCCTCCTGMAGCTGGAATGAGCTTTTGGGGCAGCATCATTTGAAATGCTCCCTGCTGAGCAAACCTCAGCTCTCATGTCCCCCTTGTGCTGTGCCCTCTCCGCAGGTCCAGTCCAGCCCGAGGTGCCCGTGGTGGAGAAGGCAGTGGCCACTCTCTCCCAGTGCCAGCTCCGCACTGAGCTTCTGAAGGGTGAGGAGCACAGTGTGGGGTGGCTGGCGGGGCACAGTGCCGTGCTGGGGTCCCCAGCTGGCCTTGGGGACAGGGCAGTGAATTCCCCCAGCTGGGACCAGCTTTCCAGCAGAAACCAGAGCAGCTCGTGCCTACATTCTGGTCGGTCCCTGCAGAGTGTGGCTGGTATCAAGATGCCCCAGACCTCACCCCGTTTCCATCCTGTATTATCTGCTTCCCTCATCTGTGGCTTTTCACCCCGGCAAGAGCAATGTGCCTGTGCCCAAGGTCACTTATGTAGTCACGTCTTTTCCCCAGGACCACATTAGCAGTTGGCGCAGCAAGCGAGCCCATGGGGACAAAGTGCAGCCGGGCACTGAGCTGGCGGGCACTGCTCCCTTGTCCTGGGAATTCGCCCTGGGTGCTCCCACCTGCAATCCCACTCTGGGCACAGCCTCAAAAGGGGACACGAGGCCAGGCTGTGGCAGGAGGAGTTAATGTAGCCGGCGCTGACGCCAGCAGCTCCCTGCAATAYCATATTTGCTCACGCAGCGCCTGGGTCTTCTCCCTGCTCTGTGCACACTACMCTCCATGCACCTTTCCAAGCTCTTCAAGTGCCTTTTTCCCAAGCCCACCACTGAGCCCTTGCACCCTCGCAGCTCTGCTAGTTGCTTTGTGCCTTCCCTGTAGGGACAGGGCAAAAGCATCGTCAATCTGCTTTTTCAGGGCTCATTTCTCAATCCTTTCAGCACACAGGCAGGCCTGGAGGAGCCAGGCAGGCCTCGCATCTCAACCCACTTCCCTTCCTTTCACCCCAAAATGTGCTCTGAGTTGTTTCCGTCCTCCTTTGGGGCAGCCCTGTACCCTTGAACGGTGCTGCCAGGGGGAGCAAAGGGGCAGGACCAAGGCCACCGCGGAGGGTTTTGGTTCTCCAGCCAAGGCCTCACTCTCCTTCCCCTTCCCAGACCACCGCAACCTGACCTTCGATGCCGACACGGCCAACAGGTACCTGCGGCTGTCGAGCACAAACCAGAAGGCCAAGCACCTGCGCAGCGCGGAGAGCCCGCGGCAGGAGCACGGCGCTCGCTTCGAGCTGTGGCAGGTGCTGTGCGCCCAGAGCTACAGCCACGGCCACCACTACTGGGAGGTGAAGGTGTCCAGCCACTCTGTCATCGTGGGGGTGACRTACGGCGGCATCTCCCGCAAGCAGCAGCCGGGCCACAAGTTCAACATCGGCCTGGACGGTGGCTCGTGGGGGCTGCAGGTGCGGGAAGACTGTTACCTAGCCTGGCACAAGGGCCGCTCGGAGAAAATCCAGGAGCGCTTGTACAAGAACCTGGGGGTCAGCCTGGACTATGGCAACGGGGTCCTCTCCTTCTACGGCCTCGGAGACAAGACGCAGCCCATCCACACGTTCCACCACATCTTCACCGAGCCTGTCTACCCCGTCTTCTGGCTGTGCGAAGGGCGAACGATCACGCTGTGCCAGCGGGACTGAGCCGGGCTCTCCCAGGAGGCGCTGAGGCGGGAGTGGGTGCAGTGATTTGAGTAMGACAGGGAAGGACTCTGGGTCTGAATTGTGCATGGAAACATCCTGATGCTGGCACACGCGAGGGCAGGACCAAGAACGCGGTTGCTTCGCCAAGACGCCCTCGCGGAGGGGCTGGAGGCCCCCAGCCTCTCTGAGCTCCCATGGCTGGTGCCCACGCAGGCAAGAGGGAGGCAGCACCAGTCAGAGAGCAGGCGATGGGGAGGGTGCAAGAACCTTCCTGCTTCTCCTGGCCCAGGCATCAGCACCCATGCCAGGAGCTGTGGGGCAAGGGGATGCTGAAGAGCTGGGATGAGGGAAACTCRTATGAGACCGATCCTGCTCTGCCTACCTGTCCAGTGCTCACCGTGAGCTGTGCTGCCCTTCGCTTTGTACGTAGCTGCTTCTCACGAGTAAAGTTCTATTTTCCTACTTGTTTTGACCTCTTCTGGCAGGAGCCATGGGACCACAAGGCACTGGCAGGGGCAAGCGGAGCCGCCCAGCTCCAGTGCTTGTCCCTACATGGCCCTGTCGTGCCCGGCTGTGTCCCGGAGAACCATGACGGGAACCAGCCTCTTCAAGCGGCAAAAATAGAAATTCCCTTAGTGGCGGTGCCGGCACGATAAGGAAACCTGCTTTCCTGCCTCAAGGTTGTGTCGGCGCTGCCCGAAGTCCGCGGCTTCGACTGAAGCTTTTCCAAGGGCGRGCCAGCGGAGCCACATTTCTCCTGCTGGCACAGCCTCATCCCCGAGACTGGGATTCCTCATGGACCGAAACTGGGCACTCGATTCAAAGGAGCTGGGATGAATCACGGCTGCTTGTTTGCTTTGAGTCGGGGGTGGGAAGGGGGAACATAAAAGGTGAATTTCTCTTTTCTTTTGTAAACTTGTGTGTTTAGTTTTACTGGGATCACTCCGCGCCTTCCCGCTTCTCCCAGCTCCCGTGTTGCAGCAGATCCCAAGGTGGGGCAGGTAGCTGGGAAAAGATCCCTACGGGACCAGGAGATCCCCTGGCAGATCCCTTTGGGGTCGGGGGGCAGTGGATCCCCAGGGAAGCGGCAGATCTGTCGGAGCGGATAAGATTCCCGCGGGCAGCGCCCCCGAGAGGGAGCAAATTGGGGGGCGGGGGGCGGTCCCGGGGCAGCCGCGCGCTCGGGCCGGGCCCTCCGGGAGGCGGCGGGGCCGGGGGCGGAGCGCGGCGGGGCGGAGCGGGGCGGCCGCCCCTCGGCGCCGGGGCCGGGGCCGCGCAGGGATGGAGCGGGCGGCCGGGAGAGCCCGCTCGGGCCCCGCCGTCGCCGCTACGAGCGCAGCGCTGCGGCTCGCGCTGGCGGCGCCCGCGCTGCCCGAGGGCCCCTTCGACTGCCCCATCTGCCTCGACCTGCTCAAGGACCCGGTGACGGTGCCGTGCGGCCACAACTTCTGCCAGGGCTGCCTCGGGGCGCTCCGCGAGCGGCCCGGCCCCCCCGCCGCCAACGGGGCGGCCCCCGCCGCCGCCCGCTGCCCGCTCTGCCAGGAGCCCTTCCCGGCCGCGCTGCGGCTCCGCAAGAACCGCGCCCTCTGCGAGGTGCTGCCGCTGCTGGGCGCCGCGGCCGCATCGCCCCCCAAGGGCAGCCCGCGGGC